GGGGGGGAGGGGAGATTTTGAAACTTGTGAAATCCACATTGATACCATTGGGCTGCAGGGTTCCCAAGCGGAATATGAGTTGCTGTTCCTGCAACCTTCGGGTGGCATCGTTGTGGCACTGCAGGAGGCCCAGGATGGACATGTCGTCTGAGGAATGGGAGGGGGAGTTGAAATGGTTCGCGACTGGGAGGTGCAGTTGTTTGTTGCGAACCGAGCGTAGGTGTTCTGCAAAGCGGTCCCCGAGTCAGAATGGATAACACCTAGATTAGCTGAGACAGAATGTAGATGTTTATAAGAGGAAGAGGAAACTCATGAGGGAGAAAATAAATGTGGAACATTGTTGATTGGTGGGTGAGATAGGAGGAGCACAAACACTGGTATGGACCAGTTAGATTGAGTGGCCTGTTCTTTGCTGTAATTTCTACCTAGTTTTATGAATTTACCAATGAAAATATTACCTAGGAGGAGAGAGAAGTGGCTTTAGAAATTAAGCTGCTGGTGAAAGTTCCCAAATGACTTGGCTTAGTCTTTAAGACGTTGAAAGAAGTTTCAAAAACCTTTCCTTTTTTTTAATTCCAATGTACACTGTTAATCACTCCCAAATTATTGGTAGCATTTGCAGGCGGCGTTTTTCCGGGTGTTTCTAGCCGTGTGATTCATGTGATTCCTGACTTCCCAGTTCAGATGATGTTTTATGGTCATGGAATGAATGAGTCTAGTCCAAATGATCAGCTCCATATCAAAAGGATTTCCCAAATGGGCAGAGTTGCCTCAATCATAATATTTTCTGGATTGTTTTCCTTTGAACAAGGAAGGTTGAGGGGCGTTTCAACGGAATTGCTGAGAGTTCATGAAACGTTTTGATAGAATAAACAGGTGAACAGTGTTTCTGCTGGTAGTCAAAGGAGATAGTAAACAGTGCAAAAACCAAGGTGGAAGTGCAAAACTATTTTATGCCATACGTTGTTATCATCTCGAATGCACTTTCTGAAAATATGGTGAAAGCAGATTTCATAATCTCTGTTAAAAGAGAGTTGGATTTATTTTTAGAAAGGGAACATTTGCAGAGCAGTGGAGAATTGATCAGGAGACCAGAAGTCCGAGGTTTTCATGTTGTACCCATCAGCACTGAAACGGAAAACCATTTTAGAAAGGAAACGAAAATTTATACCATGTGAGAAGAAGCTGCTAATTGGTTGGACTATTCCTACTTCTGCAAAAATTGTTACTCCCTTTTGGATTTGATTTATTATTGCCACATATATCTCAGTACAATGTAAAGTTTTGTTTTGCATGCAGTACAGGCAGATCATACTGTACAAAGTGCATTAGGGTAATAGAATACAATATTACAGCTGCAGAGAAGGCGCACAAAGAGCGAGGTCAACATTAAATTTGAAATTTGACAGGTCCATTCAGGAGTCCGATAACAGTGGAGAAGAAGCTGTTCTTGAATCTGTTGTGTCAAATATTGTGCGTTTCAGACGTGCTGATCGTATGTTTTGACTTCATGTCTCCTTTTAGCAATGTTTAATTTCTGTAACAACAACCAAGCATCAAGTGGGACCACTTGGGTCATTTTCTTTAAAGAGAAGCATTAGCATGATGAGCTGAATGATCTCCCTCAGTACTGCATTACAATGTGGCTCTCTGTGGGACAGTATTGTTTTTAACCTACCGTTCTCTCCTTTCAGCCCTATGTTGTAAAGTGAGGGATGATCCGCTTCAGTATGTTTTAGCGAGCACATCATTATTGGTCACTTAGTTTTTTTTCTTCAGCTCTTGCCTGATGCTGTCCTTATGTCCATTTTATCCCAACTATCATTTATTCTTGCTTTTTGAACCCAGCTGCAGCCCTCTGAAGCTGAGGACAGGCAGGTTGTCAATGTCTCTCCCTAACTACCCTCCAAATACTAGCTGTGGGGCTGGGGTGGATTAGATGTTCCTACTGTGCCCCCATCCTCCTCCTTTCACTTCAGTGGAGCCATTTTTGGCCTGTTTTAGGAAAATGAGATCCTTGTGTTCCCCACTCCTCCACCACCTCCATCACCTCCATCAAAACCCATCCCAATTGTTACAATTTCAATCAATAGTGCACCTGTTTTTATTTCCTTTAGAATCATGGAACGCCTAGTGTGGAAACAGACCATTTGGTCCATTTGAGTCCACACTGACCCGCCGAAGAGCATTCCACCCACACTCAACCTGTACCCTTTCCCTGTATTTCCCGTGGCTAATCCTCCTAGCCTGCACGTCCCTAGACACAACGGGCAATTTAGCACGGCCAATCCACCCTAACCTGCACATCTTTGGACTGTGGGAGGAAACCCACGCAGACACGAGGAGAATGTGCGCACTCCACACAGTCACCTGAGGTTGGATTCAAACCTGATCCCCTGACTCTGTGAGGCAGCAGTGCTAACCACTGAGCCACCTTGTCACCCCAGTGTCTATGGGGTAGTTAGGTTGGGCTATTGTAAACGGGGATGTGCTATGATCTCAGCTGCAGATATAATTTAACAAGCTGAGTATAGGATGTATTGGGCTTTATTTTAAGACAGGTTTTTTATGACTCCTTCCCACACCCTATAACAGAGGTTTTGTCTGAGTTCTAACACATACAGGAAGAACTGAGTGCCTAAATAAATAGCTCTCTGCAGTGCTAATACAAGTGTGACTTACACTACAACTGTAGTGTTCTCTTTGTACTGTCATGACAGCTATATTGTAAATGCAACCTGCCTCAACATGAAAAGAGTCCCTTGCTAAACTAGTGCCTGCAGGTTGGCCCCTCACCTTGCATTTGTACTTGTGGTTTCGCCTTGGTGCAAAGTGTAAATCTATAAGCTTGAAGTAAAACTGTAAGCAAGACTAAAACTTGCATGAGCTGACCTGTTGAATTGTTTTTTTCTCTGGGAGTGAGTTGTTCACTTGGAATCTGTAAGGTAACGCTAGAATTGGTGTGCAAGTGATAAATGTTTAGTAATAAGTCATTTGTCTCTGTGCGATTTTTCTTTTGGCAAGTATAGGTTATCCTGTGAGTTCACAAAAATAGAACTCTGTCGAGGTGTATGATCATCAATATTTTAAAAAATTATTAGAAGTTCACCAGAAGAAGCTTTTTTACCCTCTCCCTCCCTCTCTGTTTTTCTCTCTGCCTCTTTATGTCTTCTGTCTGTCTCTGTCTCTCTCTCTCTCTCACACACACACACACACACACACACACACACACACACACACACACACTGCGTCTCTCTTCTTAACCTGTTTTTCTTTTTCTCCTGGTATCAAACATAGCCTACAGACTGTATAGAGGCGATCAGAGCTCCAGCTTTCAGTCACCTATGCTTCATTTAGTGTCTGCTTTCTGCAGTCATTACAGCTTTTCCTGCACAATGGGCCTTGGCCCTTCGTCCCTTGCCCAGACGTCTCAATTAATAAAATAAATCGGTTTGCGGGTTGTGACCACCTGTGCAAAGATGGGACTTCATCAACAACTTGCATGAATCTAGTCCAAGATCGATTTTTCCCTTGGCTCACTGTTTCTTTTATTGCATGTTCTCAGTGACCCAGGGACCTCCATTGATCTGTGATGCACTGCTAGAGTTCCCTGCTGTTTTTATGGCAACATAGTAACAATGTTCTCTGTTCAAATTTCAGATTATCTGGCAAACCACGGCCGGCTGAGTGAGCTGGAGGCCAGGCGCAAGTTCTGGCAGATCTTGTCGGCAGTGGAATATTGCCACAACCGCAAAATCGTCCATCGGGATCTGAAAGCTGAGAACCTTCTGTTAGACAGCAATATGAATATTAAAATAGCGGGTGCGTATTGTGAGTGTGAGATCTGAAGAGCTTAGTTGATATTAACACTTACCTGCAAAACCTAACAGGAGGCTGAGAACATTCTGTCTACTGGCTTATTGCCAAAGAGTTCACTAAAAGCTAATCCATCTTGTTCCACTCCTTCTCCTTGTGTGGACCACTTTCTGTTTGATGCAGGGCCCCTTGTATGCAATCTGGAGTGTTGCTTGGAATGTTCCAGGAGCCTTTTTTTTTGATCTCCAGTCCATGTTACTTGCAGCCCAAGTTTCTTCTTTATCCTGCCTCTTGTCTTCCAACCCCTCCCCTCCCAACAGCATATGGACAGTTCCTCCAAATTGGCACAGTGGAGACCTGTCAGAGACTTGAAGGTACCATATTTACTGCAGTGTACCTGGGCTGCATTGCCCAATGCATTCGGCCTATTTTCTACAGAGGGAGCAATTAGATTAACAAGAACAATCTTGCATAGATATGACAAAAGCACGTATCTGGTCTGCTTGTAGTCTTTTGGGTCTGCTGCACAGTGTGTTACAATTCCCTATTCTCCCTCTCCATTTGTTTTTCTCTTTCTCCCTGACGCTGCCCCCAGATTAACCCTTCTTTCTCCTGATGTCAGTGGTACCAGCTGCTCTCCAAAACACGGACCCAGTAGCTGTTTCTCTTGTTAAGGCCCTAAGCACTTTGCTTCAGCAGGCCTTTCAGCTTCACAAGATATTTACATGGTGATCCTGTCCTTGCCCAGCATTTATACATATCCAGGTAAAGATAGTGAATAGGAGTTTGGTCTGACTTCTGTCCTGCAGGCAGGGAAACAGCGGCTATGTCCAGCATTCCAACTGGTAATCCAGCTGAATTCAATTAAAACACAGACTTTTCTCTTTAGATGTAATGAGACATGTTAAAGTGTTCCGTAGAAGTGGTACAAAGCAAAGTTTGAGACCAAGCTACACAAGGAGATGTTAGATCTGATGTCTGTAAGCTTACATCGATGGACCGAAGGGCCTTTTCTGTGCTGTATGACTCAGTGAGCTAGGCTTTAAGGAGTGTGTTGGAGGAAGTTGCAGCAGAGAGGCAAGGAGGATATTCCAGAGCTTGGGGTCTGAGGCAACTGAAGGCTCAGCTGCCAGCAGTGGAGTGGTTAAAATTAGAGATGTTGAAAAGGCCAGAATCAGAACAAATATATCTCCAATGGATCAAATGCAGCTCTTTCGAGGCCGGTTCAGTACATCACTGCACCCAGCCCAATGTATTTACCAACGAAAGCACAGTGGGTATGTCCAGGAAATTTCCTGAAATTTCAAGAAAATCGTTTACTTTGCTTATCAGGGATTGTTCTCTTTTAGAGCAGAGAAAGTCAAAAGGTGAGAGAATTGAGGTGTTCAGAGTGATGAGGGTTTTTGATAGAATAGAAGAGGGGAAACGATGTAAGGCGAGTCAGAAATCAGAGGATGCAGATCTAAGTTTTATTTTACAATGGCTTGTGGTAATCCGAAATGCATTTATCTCAAATATAAGGGAACTGGATTTGGTCCTAACTTGAAGTGTGCAATTTGGTACATATTTGAAAGGGTTAATTTATGGGGCTATGGCGAAAGAGCTATCCAATTAGTTCGTTACCCTGCTCTATCAGAGATATAGTACAGGCATGATGGACCGAGTGATCTCATTCTGTGCGTAAGGTTCTGGTGATCCAAAGTCCAGCCTTCCAGGGAGAGCCTCCTGTTTTGTCTCTTTCTGCTTCCCCCCCCCCCCCCCCCCCCCACCCACATATCTCCGATGAAATGCATGTGAATTTCCCTCCGTACTTGAAAGCTTTCATTGTTTAAAAGGCTGTTTCCAACACGATTGTTTGAGACCTTTTACGCAAAGAAAGGTCATTGGTATGAACTGTACTTTCATTCACCACTTCAAAGTACCTGTAGTTACTGTGTAAAATGGGCTGCTTTCCATCTCCAAGGGCTGTGGAGCACTGGATTATTTTCTTTTGATTTGATCACTGGGGCCCAGTGTTAAAAAGCACAAGGAGCGATCTGGAACCATTTAAGTATCAGGGAGATGGCACTCTGGATTCTGTTTGCTTCATTTGGGCTATTTTGCAAAGAGGGAAGGCAGAACTGGGGGTGGGGGGGCGGTGTGTGAGTGGGTGGGGGGGCGTGAGATTTATCATATGGGTTTGAAGGCACTGTGCAAGATGATGAGGCATTGACCAAAACAAATCACCCCCTTTTCTGCTTCTTTCTCCCCGTGACCCTTCCAAGAATGCTAACCCTGGTTGACCTGCAAATACAGGAGCCAGTGTGCTCCTGTCTGTCAAAGTAACAATCTGAAAGCATGCGGAGCGAGCAATCAAGTTATTTGACTGTAAGGCCAGGCTTGACGCACTCCCCAGCGAGGGCACTCAAGAGAAACTGGGGCCAGGAAATTGAACTGACTATTTTTTTCTCCTTTATCCTTGTGCGGGGCACTGAGAATAGTTTTGTTACAGTTGTCGACCCACTGTACTTGCTGAGACCAGTCATTTCAGCGCAGACCAGGAATCGATCCCAAGATTTTTCTAACCTGTGCGATGCAGTTTCACATTAAAAATTCTGTTCCATACTGAACAATTGCTGGAACTGACAGTGAGGCACTTTAAGTTTACTGATGCAGCCACAAGTGACAAAGTCTATCAGAGGATTCATTCACTCATTTTTTGACTTGAAAATCCCTCTGTTGAATTAATGATATAGCCCCGGATTCAAGAATAGGCAGTGGAGGCAAGAGAGAAATGATTGTTTAAACAGTTACTGGCTGAAGTGTGCTCTAAATGAACTACAAAAGCCTCATAAATTCAAGTGATAATACAATAGTCCGTTAGCTTATTAAACTTGAACCCATGCCAGTCCCATTAACCAATGTATCTATCTCCCTCAATCATTCAGTCTCTCTGGAACTTGGGATAAATACAATCCATTTCTGCTGAAATAGAAATTCCTTTGTATTAAAAACTGTTAAAGTCTGTTGCTAGCTTCACTAATATAGTACTGACCAAAACGTAGGCTTTAAAACTCTAGCTCAAGTCTTGCACAGCAGTTACGAGGTTAAGAGCTGAGAGAGACAGAAATCCGGATTTATCTCTTTCCCATTGCGTTATGAATCCCTCTTATTGAGTGCTCGGGGAGGGATTTCTGTGTATCTTCTCGATAGATTAACAACCGATGGGAAGATGAAAAGGATTCTTTTTGGCAAGCATCATTCCTCCACTTCACATCTAGAAGTCCCTTGACAATGTCTAGTCATTTTTGCTTTGGGCAGTGGGGGCCGAATCTGCCAGAAATGGTTCTCACCTGTGACTCCCTCACACCCAGGGGGCAAGATGGTGAAGGGGAGAAGTGGAGTGAGGGGCAGGGGAACTGAGGTGGGGGAGTGAGCAGAGGAAGCTCACTACACCTTCTGACAGTCATGCAGTTCAACGGCTGCTGTGGCTTTTATTCTGAAGCAGCCTCTCTGATAGCTTTTCCTAGCCAGTGGACAACAGCCGAGAATTGACGTCAAACACTGCTGATCAGTATGCTGCTCATGAAGTGGGTCAGTTCAGACAATTAGTTCACAACCACGGGCTCCTATCTATTCTTTTTTGTCAGCAGCTTAGCGGAATGAATTCCCCTCACTCCATTGCAATGCTGATGTGGGGGGAGGGATTGGAATAAGGATGAGGGAATAGTGGCTGAGTGGGAACAGGGAAGGGGAGGGATGACTGTTGATCGTTTCCACTGCAAAGGAGTCCAGAGGAAAGCTCTTTGGACTCCTGCTTGTATTTTGTGGTAGATGATTTTTTTTTTTCGCAAAGAACTGGATTGAAAATACTTAACACTGCGTGAAATTATGGTTCGTCAATAAGTCAAAGATTAGCCAAGTAACCAAATATGTGGTGCCACAATATTTGTTTAAAGTTATCCACGCAGATGTAAGTGAGGTCCTTAGCCAGAAAAGGAAGGGAATTTTGCTTCATTCTTTTATGTGAAGGTTGGTCTGGTTTTTACTTTTAAAGGAAAAGTCACTCTGTTTATTAGAACAGCATGAGGACTGGTGCCAGTCAAAAAAAATGCTTCTCACCAAGTGGTGAGCCCTGCTGCAGGATGCTCATGGGTCAACAGGTCACATTGCACCTTCAGTTTCTTTCTTTGCTGGGCAATGCCATCCAACTTTGTCATAACAAATGGCCTTCAATATGCCAGCAGTAGTTCAGGAGGCAAGAAGGCCCTATTCCAAGCAACTAAATGTTCTTTTTCAATAATTACTTTGGCAATGGAGTGGAGAGCAGTAAAACAGACACGCTTTATGTCGTCCTGATGATTACTTTTTGGCAGCCTGAGGTTGTCTCAGTGTGGGCCCAGTGCCTTTGTTAATGAAGCCCAAAGTAACTTGAAGAATGGTGAGACCTATGCTTTGTGGCATGCTCTTTAATGTCATGTTGCTCCATTTAAACAATTAAAGCCAGGTCAGAAACACGATCATTGAGACAAAGTCCTTTCTTGCCCTGTTGTAAACCTTCTGCATTACTTTGTAATTTTCGTCCTGTCAAACAAAGCAAGATGCAATTTTTAACAGTGAAGTGTGAAAAGCTGAAATGGTATAATTTTAGACTTTTCTATTGTGATGTACAATTGCTTTCAAAAGGCTCAAATGCAGGTAGGGTCTGCCCCTCAAGCAGATAAAAGCAGCTGGGTGTTAATTTTAAAATGCCTTCTGAAAGAATACATGTTACACTGCAGTGCTCCCTCCATCTGTACTGCATTGGGATTCTAGATTCGAGTGGAACAGGAATCCATGACATTCTCATCCAAAGGTCTGAGTGGGTCCAGCTGTGCCTCATAAATATTCTTCTCGAATCCTGGCTACTAGGGTCTGAGCATTTGTATGGTCAGTGTAAACATTACTGATGTGTCCAATTCACAGTTGGACATTGTCAGTTGAAGTAAGTCTATTTACTGATCAGAATATCAGGTGCACATATGGAAACTTATGCATAATCCTTGGGTCTATGCTGTTATATAATGGTGTAAGGGTCTTTAAGGTGTAATGCCGAGCAGCGCTCGAAGCACTGTACACTGTCATCTGGGCTGAGGAGAAGAGCTGCTCAGGATCTTGAAGGACCTTTTACGTGCCTAACACCAGAGGGTACAAGTAAAGGGGAGGAGATCTGAAGATAGTGGTAGATAAATAGAACACGTGGGACCAAGTGCATGTAAATGGGATTAGTGTAGTTTATTGTCTGTTGGTCAGCATAGATGAGGTGGCCCAAAGGGTCAGTTTCTATGCTGTTTGTCTCTATAACTCTATCTCTAAACGATTCAAGCATGAGAGGGGCTTGGTGGTGCATAACAATCAGCCTGTTGTGATGGTGAGATTACATCACTGACCCTGCTTCTGTGGGAAAATATTTGCTTGAGGCTACATTCCTTTGATAGAAAACATTCAGAATGTTTTCTTTTGACAATCCATTCCCAGCTTCATCTAAGTAAATATAACTAACATGGAAATACTCTGCAGGTCTGACAGTATCTGTGGAGAGAAAAACAGAGTTAATGTTTCATTTGATGATCTTTTATCAGAATTGGGAAAATGTAGAAATATGATGAGCTCAGAGCAGATGAGATGGGGGTGACTAAACACTGAACAAAAGGGAACGTTTGTGTTTGTACTAGAGAGACTGAGGGACATGGATTGGTCATGTAAGACAGCAGGGAGCAATGGTGGGAGGGATTAAAGTCAAAAGAAACATCTGGAAGAGGGTCTAGGCCCGAAATGTCAGCCTTCCTGCTCCTCTGATGCTGCTTGGCCTGCTGTGTTCATCCAGCTCTACACCTTGTTATCTCTATGGAAGAGATGTGATTGGCAGAATGGGAATAGCTGCTGTCCCAAAGCAAAAACAGGAGAGAAAATCTTGAGGATTGAAGAAAGAAAATAGGAGAAAATAGAATGGGGGCAGAAATTAGGAACCGAAATATTTTAATCAAGGCTGGGTCTGGAAGGCTGTAAAGTGACTAATTGGAAGACGATGTCTTGTTTTTCAAGCTTGTGTTTAGCTTCATTTGAACAGTAGTTGGAGGGCAGAGCGGTCAGAGAGGCAGCAAGGTGAAGATTGAAATGGCAGGTGATCAGAAACTTGTGACTGCGCTTGGGCCCTGATCAATGTGTTCCATAAAACAGTTGCCATCTGCATTCGGTCTCCCCAGCGTAGAGCATGAACAGCAAATACAGTAAACCTTCTTGGACAGAGAATACACCAATCACTGTATCATCATTAGCATGTGGTCTTACACTAGAAGATGCAGGTTTCTCAATTCCAGCGTTTTAACCCTTGGTGACGACACCACATGTACTGATAGGTTATCTAGTTTGGGATTGTGCCGCAGACCTGCCAGTTTGCGCAAATCATTCGTGTGGCAAGGCTTTTAATATTGGTGATGTGGAAGGTTTCTACTGCAATTTGAGACATTTGCTTTAGGTATACCTCGACATACTGATGCCAATCAGTGGAAAGTGAGGGTGGGCAGGAAATTGATCTATTGGCTGCTGGATTCATTTGGGTTTATTGGATGATGCTGCTCCTGGCTCAGGGGAATGGTTACCCACAAAAACAACTACAAAAATAACATTCTTGTAGCCAAACTGCTTTCTGATTCTATTTTGTTCATTATGTATTTAAATTGTTGGTGGCGTTGTCTAAGTCAGCATAAGACCTTTAGAAACTTAGTCCACAGAGACAGTCAGGGTTAAAAGCCTGTAACTGTATTTGTGATCATGGACTAACCAAACCAGTGTGTTGACATAGCGATCCACAATGGTAAATATTGAGAGGCAAGTGTGAACTAAAACTGTGACAACCGGAAGTAGAACTTGTGACAAAGTGCATGACTCCCGCAAGGTACTGATATCTGGAATAACATAAAGGCTGCTTCATTTCCGGTTGTGTTTCCATTTGAACAGATTTTGGGTTTGGTAATTTCTACAAACCCGGAGAACCCTTGGCCACGTGGTGCGGCAGCCCACCGTACGCAGCTCCAGAGGTTTTTGAAGGACAGCAGTATGAGGGACCACAACTGGACATCTGGGTAACAACTTCACTTAAACCATAATGATAGTCTTAAAGATTTTAACAAGTTGGAATTCCCTTCTCCTTCTGAAACCGTTAATCCCTTTGTTTCCAATGATTCTGACTTGTTCTGGTACTTTCTTATGGTGACTCACTGTGTCCTCACATGAATGGTCAGTAATGAAGAGTGGAACCTCTCTCTGAATCTGTAATAAACCCCTAACACTTCTCTATACAGCTCCTAATTGCCACTCAACTGAGCTTAACTGTGATGATGCTCCAGTGCTCTGGTAGAGGTCAATTACCTTCCACATAGACTGCAGACAGACGTGGGATCTTCTAGATTTTTTTACATATGTTTTCATCCTGCCAGTAAATTTCTTGCCTCATCCGGATGGGGTTGTTACAGATTTATAAAATGTAGGTTGTGTCTTGCTTAGTCCCAATTATCATTTGTCCAATAAATTTGTTATTAAATTTTTGAATTCTATATTTGTAAACATGGTAATATGTATAAGGAGGTCAACGTTTGTTTGCTTGCTTTTAAGTTCATGATGACCTCAGCACCACCTTGGGAATATCAGCTAATCATGGTTGGGGATCTGTTGGAAATGCACCAGTGATTTCCAACAAATCACCCTTTGAGTACTCAAGTCTGGTGAGGGAGGATCCTAGAGTTCTGACAGAATGCTTCTGTGTGGAAGCTAGTGGTCTGCTTGCAAATTTGATGACCTTTTTGTTAGATTTAGACTTGATCTGCTGAAGATAACCTGCACCGGACAATGGAAATGCTGCACTTTATACTGGGGTGATAGCATTAAGGTTTCCATGCCCGGAGGTTCCCATTTCGGGAAGGGTTTGGAGGACAGGAAAAGACCACAGTCAGATCAGCCGTGATATTTTTGAATGGTAGATAAGACATGAAGGACAGATGGGCTATTGCTCTTCCTAAGTCCTATGAACAGTGCAGTTAGTCACCGGGTAAAACTCTGCTGTACACCAGCATTGTGCTCAGCCCTGATGTGACAGTTATGTTCCTGCACTGGGGACTAAAGGAATTAAGGAATATGGGGATAGTGCAGGAAGGTGATTGCATTAGGTGACAGTAGGACTGAGTGGCCAAATGATCTCAACTTTTTGTTTTGTTTGTCCATTCTCTATGCTGGCTGCCTTCACGCTTGACTGGGGCAGGCTGCTAACAGAGGCCAATTTGTGTGTAGTTTTTCACTGTGATTTTTATAGGAGGAGGTGACTTGAAGTTTCCTGATCTCCGTCTAAGCCAGGCCAGCAAATAGAAGAAACTTTAACCCCATCAGCAGGCTGGCTATGGACCTAGGCCTTAACTTATTTTTCTGTTGGTTGAAATAGATACTTCAAATTATTTGGATCAAAAAACTTAGTGTAGAAAATGCTAAATAAGAATTTCTCTTGTCTACACGTCCCATTTCCCCTATTTTTTTCCAACCATCACCTTATTAAAATAGCAAGTATCGGACATTGAATCATCCTGAAGTTATGACATCAGTTTCTGTTCACTGGTGTTACGCTATTGCATACAACAGGATGTAACCAGTTGGATCAGTCATTCTGCCTGCCAGTATCGCTGGAACAGATATGTATTATATATAGTTCATTGTCTTTGTCACTATGTAGCTTTAAAAGGGATAAGAAAGTTCTAAACTATCAGGGGCAAATTTATCAAGCAAAAGAGCAGATGTCACAACTTTACTTTGAAAGCCCCAGGCATTATTATCAATGATGACCTTTTCATTTTTATTTTGTTTTGTGATTATCAAACTGAGTGAAATTAGTGCAGGGGAGTGTTTGCCTCATTTCAGCCAGTGCTCCCTGTCCATGAATAGCACTGTTTGGTATGGAATAAAGCTCCTCTTCAAATCCACCACAGCACCTCCAAATCCACCACAGCAGGGTGATTCCCCACTGTGGACATGTGATGTTCTCTTGATTCTGACACTCAGCCAGCCTGTGGCTCCCTAAGCAGAATTGCCAATTCCGGTTGAACGAGGCACAGCGTTCTGCTTTGTGCCCATAAAATGCTGCATTAAGTACAATCCTTTCCAAGCATTGAGCAGTGGTGTTTTTTTTTCCCAAGAAAGCATTCCATGAGGCTTCTCATTTTTGTGTCTGTGCAGAGTCTCGGTGTGGTCCTCTATGTGTTGGTTTGTGGAGCTTTACCATTTGACGGTCCAACGCTCCCCATCCTGAGGCAGAGGGTTCTGGAAGGCAGGTTTAGAATTCCATACTTCATGTCAGAAGGTGAGAATGGACAAAACAATTGATAAACATTTTGATTTGATTTGTTAAGCTTTAATCTGTGTGACACTCATTTCAGACTGTGTTTGTGTTTGTGTGTGTGCGTGTGTGTGTGAGAGAGAGAGAAAAAAAGAGTTGCTCTTTATCTAGGCTTTCAACAAACTTCCAACAATTTGGATGTTATCATCCTTATTTTCTCCTCCTGCATTTAGTGACTCGTGAAGCAGACAAAATGTGTGCATACATCTGTTTCCACAGCTAGTTGATTCCTGGAACAGTTTGGTAGCCTGTTGCCAGAGACTGTCAGGGGCAACAGTGCATATCATGTCTGGCTGACCAGAACAGAATCTCGGCTCACCAGAGGTGTAGTTAAAGAATTTGTGGATTGATAATCAACCTGTTTGGTCACATCACAAGTGTGCTTTCTATGGCCATCAAATCCTGGAGTTAGTCTTGAATCCAGAGGCAGAATTGCTAAAAACTGCACAACCAGCCCCTGTGTCAGGAGTCATATTCCACTCATATAGGATGATTGACCAGCAATTTTTAGGTGGGACCCTGCGAGTAAGACCTGGCCCAGAAATCCTGCAATTTGCGAGACCCAAGAGTCCCCAACAGTGGGTGGTTTTACCAATCTTTGCCAGTGTTATCTGGAGAGATTAATTGCAACCCTCAGAGCTCTCTTGACCTTTGTACTTAAGTTGAACTAAAGTCCATTTAAAATATATTAGTGGCCACTTTTAAAAGTGCATCGTCTTCTGACAAGTTACAAAACGGCTGTAGCTTTAATTCAAGGCATCATAACCTAAACTCAAATTTCGTATCAATATTATAAGGAGTTGAGTACTATATTCAATAAATATTTGGTTAACTTCTCACCCAGTTTTTGTCAGAAGGGCTCCTGTACTTGGGCAGAAAATAGCCTGTGGCTACTATATTCTGACAACATCAGAAATAACAGAATCTATCTAAGTCTGGGCAAGATTTGGGTGAATTGCATTGATCCAAGTCCACAAGTAACTTGATTCTTGGATTTGTTTATGTAAAATTGTCAAGTTTAATCATAAAGAGCTTTCCACGCCATTATTGACATACTGCACATGATCAGGTATGTAGTTCACACCAGGTAATGTAATTTTAGAAACAAGAACTTTGATTCATTATAAATATTCATGTAGTCAGGTTTTTGCTGTTATATTTGAAGCATTGGTGCAAGACATTGTGGGTTTAAACTATGGAATCTGCCGGAGCTTTCCAAGATTAGATGGAAACTGCAGTCAAGGGAAAGATTTAAATGATTCCTTTTCTGGTTACCCATTCATGGATTTTATTTTCCATTCTGTCTCCCAATTTTCCCCCAACTTTCCTTTATTTTTATTAGATTATAGTTTAATGCTCCATACACCCTTTTTCCAAGCGGCCAATTATTTGTGTGCTTATCAAGTGAGTGTGGCGCGTTGTTTGACCATGGGTAGCTTTGTAAGAGGGAGGCAATGGTACGGTAATAATGCCACTGTGGTAATCCAGAGACCCAAGTTTACAGCCTGAGGATGCAGGTTCAAATCCCATCATGGCAGCTACCCTACAGGGAGAGAAATTTGCCATCCTAACCCGAGATAACCTGGCAGATTCTTAACTGCCCTCTGAAATGGCCTAGCTCGCTATTCAGTTGCGGAATTTGGAATGGGCAACTGATACTAGAATGGCCAGGGAATTTAAAAAAAAAACGATCCAGATGTTGTCCAACACCCATGAGCATGTCCTTTCCTGGAGTCTGAGATTGGGAGGAGGACACCTTGACGGATGTTACAGCTGTGCAGCCCAGACAAACTGAGACCAAATGCTGCAACGGTCATCAGCCTGGGATTCACCCTGCTCTTATTATTGTAGCGTCTTTAATCAGGGAGCCACTAAAAAAGAATTAATATTTCTCTACTACTTTAACAAAACTATTAGACAAATATCTGTTTGTAGGAAACTTGATCAATGTGTGAACCAGTGTTCTCAACTCATCGAGACTTTCTTGCCTGCCAGACTGTGAACACCTTATTCGACGTATGCTGGTCTTAGACCCTTCTAAAAGACTTACAGTTGCCCAGATAAAGGAGCACAAGTGGATGCTGACCGAGGTGCCAGTACAGCGACCAATTGTATATCCTCAAGCGACTGAGACTGAATCAGCCATGGGAGAATACAATGAGCAAGTTCTACGACTGATGCACAGCCTAGGGATTGACCAGCAGAAAACCATTGAGGTAAAGAGTGCAATATTTAGATTGAGAAAAGCATCATGCTTTGATCAAACTCAGTTCTCTATGACAACAAGAAGGTTTTCGGTATTTTGCATTCATCAGGTCCTTTTACACAGATGTAGATGGCTATCTCCAATTTACATTAGATGAGAATGTGCAATCAGTACTTGCAATGATCCTCGCATGCAACCCCCCTACCTTGTACACCCTCTAAGAGTTCAACTGAAAGTATTATAACATTAAAAGGAGCATGAAAAGGCCATTATGTCCCTTTCACTTACTCCAACATTTATCGAGATGATGGTTGATCTTCTGCTTTGATTGCTCCTTCCTGTGCTATCCACATATTCATTAATTCTCCTAATACCCAAAAACCCATCGGTCTTTGTCTCAAATATACTCTACAACAGAATGTCCACACCTCTCCAGGATAGAATGTTCCAAAGATTTATGACCCCGTGAATGAAAAGACTCTCCTCATTCTGATATGAAATGGTCCTTACCTTGATTCCCCATACATGGGAGACATTCTCTCAGCATCTACTGTCCGGTCAGCTAAGAATTGTTTTGCTTATGTGTTTCATTTCATTCTTGTTCATCCTGGATATATACACACAAGCTTCCCAGTTTTTCTTTGTGGGGAAATCCCTCATCCCAGGCACCAGACTTCATGAAACTTTACCTGCCCCAAAAGGGGATGCATACTTTTGCTTGGATAAGGAGCTGAAAATTGTACACAGCATTTCAGGCATGGCCTCACCAGTACCAAGTAGCATGACTCTGCTGCTTTTATTTTCTATTTACTGGTTTGCCGTGGCTTTGAAAGGGCAGTCTTTAGTGCTGTTGCTTCAGTGTGACTAAATCCTAAATTAGATTTTTCAGTAGCAGCAACTTGAGATATGCTTGGCTCTCGAGGATTCTTCACACACCTTTTGTAGCCAGTGAAGAATAGAAGCTCAGAGACCTGCTAAAGGAATCTCAGTGGCACTCTGTGGTCACTATCTTGCTTCAGGTGTGAAAAATTAGACAGTTTCTCTCTGTCTTCCCTGTTCTCTTCCTTGCTTTTCCATCTTGAATTGAACTTGCCGGAGGTGCCTGGCAGTATTGAGCTCATGACCTTGTGTGAGCGTGACCCACTAAACACCTTGAGTTAACCTATCACTTCAGTCTCCTTAAGCCAGTGTTGTAGTTTCCCAGTCAGATCGTTGGATGAGCAGCTATTCAGTAATGGCTTTAGTAGTGGCCTTGTTTGTTTCAACCCTGAACTTTAGAATCGATAGTATTCACTGCATTCTCTCTCAAATCTCTATATTCTGTAAATTCTTCCTAAAGAAGAACAAAATGTCCAGTTGATGAAATTGTTCCCTTTTTCTTTTCCATCTTCATTTAATTGCTGAAAAGTGTTCTTGACTTTTTTTCAGTTGTTTCTCTCAGAATATTGCCTGGATTCATATTATCGTGCTTTCCTTCCCTTAAAAGAAAATCATTAAGTTCATTGCTGTCAGGGGTGATTCATTGCTATGCCTGAAGATTGTTGCTTCCTACACCACTTCAGTAAGATTGATGGGACAAGAAATGAGTCAAGGATGACCTAACTTGCCCATAATTCTTGGTAAGAAAATAAGGCCCCGACAACTTAGTAATCAATGAACACAAGAAATGCGTTGACCAGAGGAATGAGAAATAAATGTAAAACATCCTGGGGAAAGATAGTGAGGTTTGAACAAGGTCACTTCACTGAAATCCCTTTTAATTAATCAGCAGTCACAGTCTCACATCATCACTGTGCTAGTTTTATTTTTCTCTGGACAACTGGTGATGTAAATTGTGAGTTTTTTTTTAAATTGCTGTTCAAATAATTGTTTCTTTTTTTTTGGCATTTTCTGCAGTCTCTACAGAACAAGAGTTATAACCATTTTGCTGCTATTTATTATCTATTGGTGGAGAGGCTCAAGTCTCACAGAAGCAGTTTCCCTGTAGACCAGAGACTTGATGCGCGTCAGCGACGACCAAGCACAATTGCTGAACAAAGTGTTGCCAAGGTAATGCCATCATTCTTGACTGTTGCTGTGCCAGTTGTGCATGTATCATGCACTTTTTATTGGATGAAGTAACACTTGTGCAGAGACTACAGCCCCCAGCTCTACAGGTTGTACACATTGGGATTGATTCATGTATTGGCTTTAATAGTTCAGGGTGTACGTGTATTTGAGAATATACTTTAGGTCTATTTTTACTCTTCACACCTCAAGTCTTTAGATAATCTCATGCTTTCTAATCAGCAAAGGAATTTATTGAGTCTTTTCTTATATGTACAGCACTTTTGGGAGTGTGTAGTTTTGCTAAAAATACAGAATGTCCCATGATGTTTTGAATTATTTATGGTTCTTTTCACACTTGGATTTTGTCAGTGATTCACGAAGATCTGTTTTAAGCTGTTTTCCTCCTTATGCCTGTGGTGCTGATTAACTGAATGTTAATTGAAGAACTAATTGAGCTGAACATTAAGCCTACCTCCCTTCATCTTCTGTATAACCATACTGAGTTACATTCTATATTGGGGAATCCAGCAAAGAGTCATAGAATGTGTTTGGGTTATGAATCATAGGTTGATACGTGACTGAAGAAAGCCATTTGGTCCCTTGTGCCTGTCTGTCCCTTTTTATAGAACTATCCAATTAGTCCAATACCCTGCTTTTGCTCCATTGCACTGCAGTTTTATTTTCCTTCAGGTATATATGAAATATTTGACCACCAACTCTTCAGATTGTGCATTTCAGATCACAAAGGCTTGCAGTGACGACAATTTTGTTACCTTTTCTCTTAGATTTTATTATGACAGCTGTTTTAAAGTTACGAAACCTTGTTAAAACACTGCTGACAGTGGACACCAGTTTTAAAAAATCCTTTATATGTGTTCATTTTCATATATTTCAAGCACTTAATTTTGAAATAGTCATAAATCAAACTGAAGAATAGTCAGTTACCAAAATTCCTATATCCCCAACTGCATGTATTAAATCTAAAAAAGAAAAATTGTGGATGCTGGAAATCTTGACCAAAAACAGAAACTGCTGGAGAAACTCAGCATGTCTGATGGCATCTGTGGAGAGAAATCAGCAGAGTTAATGTTTTGAGACCAGTGATCTGTCCTTCAGAACTGATAGTAGCTCGGAAAAGTAGCTATGGAGGTGAGTATGGTTGTCGGGGGAGGGTGAAGAGAAGGGAGGAGTGAGTAGATAGGAGGAGACGGAGTCCAGAGAGAGAACAACAGTTAGACAGACAATGCCAATGGATGATAGTGTGTCAGGGAGAAAGAAAAGCTGATAATAGGGACCAGAAATAGGTGAAAGCAGCCTATGTGATGACAGGGCCTGGGGTTTGGAGTTGGATAAAGGACATAGAAGAAGGTGTTCAGGTTCAGAACTAATTGAACTTGCTATTGAGCCCTGAAGGTTGCAGGGCACCCAAGCTGTAAATGAGATGCTGTTTCTTCCAGCTTGTGCTGAGCTTCATTGTGCTGAGCAAATTTGTACTGTATGTTTTAAAGGTTTCTTTATGCGATAACAATCTCCTGCTTTTGAGGGAGTATTGTTTGTACGTATAAGATTTGCTTGGCGGACCAGACTCATTGGCATGTCCTCGACTCCACCATAGTGAGCAAATATTCACAAATACCTCTGATTGATTACATCTCCACAATCAACTCCCTTATTCCTGGACTCTGACCTTGCTTACTTTGTACCATGCACCTGCTGAGGCAGACCTGTATATCAAGCAGTCAACTGTGCCATCCAAAGTCAGAGCGTGTTTATTTGATTATTATTCACTCACAGGATGTGGGCATCGCTGATTGGACCAAGATAAATTGACCATACCTTGAGAAGGTGGTGGTAAGCTGCCTTCTTGAACCGCTGCAGTCCATTTGGTGTAGGGGGCCCCTATAATGTCATGAGGGAGCAAAGTTCCAGGATTTTGACCCAGCAACACTGAAAGAACAACTGACAGTCTATGACCAAACAGTGATATATTTCCAAGTCAGAATGGTGTTTGGCTTGGAGGGGAACTTTGTGTTCCCTTGGATCCACTGTTGCTGCAGTTGAGTTCCGACAATAAAGCTGGCATTACCTTTGCAGTTCTTCATTGGATATGTCCCCTCCCTGGTGCCTGCTGGGGGAAGTATGCTTTCTTGCAACTTCAGAGCCAAAATATGCAGTCTTCCCAGTGTTTTGCTGTAGCCTGAATACAGGTAGGAGCAGAAGGCCTCCACAATGATATCCTTCCTTAAAGCAGCCCCCTGCCGGCATTGAGTGGGCATTCTGTGATGCCCATCTAGAAAGCAGTGTAAAAATCACCATCATCGTTGTAACTGCCTGTGTAATACCAGCTCAGTTAGTGTTGCAATTACCCTTTCATTCTTATTTCAGCTATTTCCTGGCACCATGAGGGAATGAGAAATAGGGTAGATATCAGCTGCTTTGAGATGATTCCATGACCTTTATGCAAATATGACATAATAGAAATTATTGCTGTGACGAGAACTGTGTATGCTGTCTGAGGGTGCTGATGCATGTTTACACGCGCACACGCAAGGTACACATGCAAAGACACACGCACGTGCACACATACGCACTCACACAATCTAATTGATGTATTACTGTTCACTAATCATTCATTCACTTGTTGGTTCCATTTAGCTGACCCCTTCGCTCCTGCATATATCCTGCTGTGGGCTCTTCAGTTATGTGAATACCTTTCTTTTTGATGAAATCTCCCAAGCAACTAGCCCAAAGTTTCAGCAGGACTGCATGAACAAGACCCCCCAGGATCTGGCAAACAGTTTGCTGACACTTTTAGGCATGTGTCTGTGAATGTTCTGTTGCCATCTTCCATGTAAATATTTGAAGGTTTATGCTTTAAAAGAGTAGGTTGTTACTGATTATCAAATAACCATCAATCTTAGAAACATACACTTGCGAAGATCACAGAGTTGCCCATGCCCATTGTGCCTCTTGCTGTCAAACCACTGACCTAGTCTGGTTGTGGTCAGTTGATACATATATACATCTAAATGACCAGCAGCAATATGAATGAGGTCGAGTTAAAAATCCCCATTTCCTGTGAAAAGAAACCAGAATTAACATTTCAGATTCACTAGAATTAGTGACAGATCATTGACCTGAAATGTTAACTCTGTTTCTCCCACGTTGGTCACTAAGACCCACCCTGAGGGTTGTGAGGCAATTGCTAGCCCTCCTTCGAGTGAGTCACCAAGATTCTAGGTTTGATATCCACTTTTGCACTTGAGTGCAAAATTCAAGGCTGTAATCCTGAGAGAGTCAACATGCCTGGTTTTAAATTCAAAATCAGCCTGGCAGTTAACTGTCAATCTCTGTTAACTGGTGCCTTCTAAGACTGTATGTCTGTACCAATCAACAGTCTCTTGTCATCCAGTGAAAATGTTGGTTTTCCCCATAAATTGATATTTTCTGTATCCTGATGAGTACGAGATGAAAATCTTCAATAAAATGTGTCTTTTTTTGGAAATGCTTAGGTTCTATTGCTACCAAGCAACTATTCTAAAATTCTGTTTATGTTGCCCATAGAAGGACTTCTCGTGTATTTTCCAATATCTTTTCTGCCCGTAACCCACCACCAACATGAAGAAGGGTCACTAGACCTGAAACGTTAATTCTGATTTCTCTCCACAGATCCTGCCTGACCTGAGTTTTTCCAGCAATTTCTGTCTTTGTTCAAGATGAAGACATTGGAACAGGTCAAATTTAGATTTAAAATTATGCCCCTCTCGTGGTTATTTGCTATCTAGATTTGTGCTGAAGAATGGTGTTTGGATGAGATACCTTTTCCATCTTCTTTTCACTGTGAGGAGAAATCAGTGGATTTGGGAGAGGAAAATGGGGAAGAATAAATATATCCAAAACTTTTTTTATTCAAAGATAATATTACCATGCCATCTTTTTTTTTGACTTCAGGCAAATCCTGTCATGCCCCAGGTGAACCTGCTGCCTCAGAACATCAGGCTGTTGAGGTCCCCTCTCCTGCCACAATCTGCTGCTGTGGACACATTCTCCTTTCTGCAGACTGGATGCCAGCCGGAATTAGCCTTCATGGAGGAAGATGTCAACACTCCCAAGGTTTGTGACCGACTCTGTTTTAACTTAGCATCATAGAGATGTACAGCACGGAAACAGGCCCATCAGTCCAACTCGTCCATGCTGACCAGATATCCTAAATTAATCTCCTCCCATTTGATAGCATTTGGCCCATATCCATCTAAACTCTTCCTGTGCACATACCTATCTTTCATATAGCAGGCAACAAATATTGGAGTCAGACAGTCAGAAAAGTTATATTGGCTGCCTTGGTGTCACATTCAGCTTGACAATACTCCTGTGTAGTGACTTGGGGCATTTATCTTTGTTAAAGACAGTGTAGTTACCTGGTAGTATCAAAATTTAACATTGCTAAAAAGGGGCATGAAACCAACTTTAGTTGTTCTTCTTGTGTTATGTGAATGGGTGTGTATGTGTGGTTAAAACAAATGGATTATTGCTATGCAAAAATGAGCAACCTGTGGTATAATGTTAAATGAAGATAGTGGAATATTTTAATGAAAAGTGGTAGGAGATTCAGTGAATGTTCTGGACTTCTTGATGGATAAGATCAAATTGGACACTTTAACTTATCCCTCCAGCAGAATCCAGCTGGGCGGGTAGTTAAAATTAGTCCAGTAGTTTACCTCCTGACATTCCATGCAGATCCAGGCTGCTCATGAGTGTCAGCTGGTGGTACATCTGCCTCTGAAACATTAAGGTTTTGGCCTCGGGTGCTAACCAGGGCTTGGGCACTAAAGTCTAGGCTGCTCTGCAATACCGAGGGAGTGCTGGAGGTGCCATCTTTTGGCAGAGCTGTTAATCTGAGGCACTGTCAGGTGGATGCAAAATACCCCATGGAGCTATTTTGATGAAGAACAGAAGTGTTAATGCCGGTTTCCTTGGCAATATTTAACTCTCTGAGGCAACATCAGCAAAACAGATTCTGAAGAAGAGTCATATCGGACATGAAACATGAACTCTGTTTCTCTCTTTCCACAAATGCAGCCAGACAGGCTGAGTTTCTGCCCTGTTTTCTGTTTTTATTTCAGATCTTCAGCATCAGCAGCACTTTGCTTTTGTCACAGAAAAATAAATGATCTGGCATCTACCATCTTGCTGTTTCTGGGATCTTGCTGAACACAAATTGACACCTGCGATTCCTATGTTACAATCGTACACCTCAAAAGGACTCAATTGACAGTAAAAAAGAAATATTTTGAGAAGTTTGGTGCCACATAAATGCAAGTCTTCTAGTTTGATTTTCTAGCCCTTTAAATGAAATGGTACGTACTCTCCTGAGAGCAGGATACATCAGCTTGCCCCTAGTGAAAGTCAGTGGGACTTTTAAGCGACAGATGCATGTGGTTGGTGTTCTTCGCATTTACTAGACAACCCCAGCAGATGCAGCCACTAATTCTGGCTTCTGCGTGGACGTCACATTTTCTGTTTCTGTGTAATTGTTAGCTAATGTTTGTTCTGCTTGCAGGTATTTCTCAAGGCAGAATCTGCAATTATCAGTTCAGGATTCAGTGTCTTAACAAAAGTAGACTTAATGGCCAGGCGAGAAGCAAGCCCATTTAACTAATCCTAACCCTGAACTGGCTTTAAAGAACCAAGGTTGAGATTCCATCTTGATGGCATCAGTAAGTGAGGTAGCTGGCTGTATGCAACCTTTCAAATCTTTTGAGTCAATTCAGTGTGTAGTGCAGATATAATTAGCTGTAACTTTTTTAAAAGCTGTAGTGCTAAATATTGCCTTGGAGGATACAGGCATGACTCATAATGTGTTGGAACGCAGCAGTGTGGATATTAAGGTAATTTTTCACACTTGAGGTGTCCCCTGGAATCCTGGAGACTTGTAGAAGAGAAATTCCCTACTCTGTGTGTGTTCATCTCCATTGGGAATTCACTCGTATTGGAGTGGGTATTACCATCAGTACCCTGCCTGTATTGGAATCTAATTACAGTATTCAGTTCCATGTGTACATGTTTGAGTGTGGTACAATTGAGCCATTGTTGGGGATAAGTGTGCTTCCTTTTGTATTCATTATTATATTTGCCATTCTGCCAAAGCAAACCCAGTTTCTATATTCTTGTAATGAGATGCTGCATGAGTAGAGCTAATACAGTGAGAAGTTTGGAGGAGATGGCATCACTGGAAGAGGCCAGAAAAGCCCCCTCTGTACTGCATTCTCTATGATTACGCTGAGGAGTGCATGAAGGAACAGACTAGTTTCCACAGCAAGTCATAATCATCATTTTAAACTTAACAGTTCTTTTTTTTAAAAAAAAAAGTTGCTGCATAATTTAGACATTTATAAACTTAATGATGACAAATGCAGGAGCTCTGGCATCATTGCACCTCTCATTAATGACAGACTTTGGTATTTAAATGTGGTTTCTTCCTGCGTTACCAAGTGACATTGCGCTGATTTGATCAACCAGCAGGGCTTTGAGGAACAGAGTTTAAAGCATTTTAATGTTTTCTAAATTCAAGTGTGCTTTACCTAATGAATTAACTTGCATACGGGTCACACAAACGTGGGAATAATTTAGGAATGAAGCCTCTTATACGAACTCACTACTTTACTGCAGGGTTTGGGATTGCAGATTATTGGGTAAATTCTGCCCGCCAGTATAGAGTCAGTTTCAAAGGCAGTGAGAGTTGGAGAAAAGTTACTGCAGTGTGGTAACTAATCTCTGATCTGCATTCTCTTTCCACTTAAATCCATTTAACAAAATATATTGAACAATCAAGTAACTTGAACAGTAGCCAGTAAGTGTGGAGAATAAGGACTTGCATTTATATAATGCATTCATGACCTCAAGATGCCCCGAAGCACTTTATAACCAATAAAATATTTTGTTTAGAAATGTACTTATGGCTATGTGGTAATGAGCAGATACTCTACTTTTTTGAGTTGTTGATCGAGAGGTAAATATTGACCAGAATACAGGGATAACCACTGCACTTTTGAAATAATACTTTTGCATCATTTTATGACTCAGCCAAAAGGGGAGATGTGGCTTCAGTTTAATGTCTCCTTTGGAAGGTGGTACTTACAACAGTGCTGCAGTGTCTGAGGCCTGCAGTGCCAGCTTAGATTTGTGAGCTCCAAGTCCTGAAGTCGAACTCGAACACCACACCTTCTAACTCAAAATATGTGAGGCACAGGGGACACTGTTATTTTACCAAGGATATTATTCTGATCAATTGTGTCTAATATAAGTTGGAGGAGTTCCAGAGCAGTCTTTGATTTATGCTCTTAGAGTTAAAATTCAGGCTGACTTTTTGTACTTACGACCCATGGGAGACAAAACTAATTATAAACAGTTCATCCCCAGTTCAGTGAAGCTAATGCAAATTGAGGAGCAAATGTCCAGGTGAAGCCCACATCTGGAATACTGTGGTACAGTATTGTTTTATTTATTTAAGGTAGGATATAAATGCGTTGAAAGCAGTTTAGAGAAAGTTCTTCAGACTGATACCTGGAATGGACATGTCCTCTTGTGAGGAGAGTTTGGACAGGCTAGGTAGGCAAGTTGATTGAAAAGCAGATGCTGAGAGGTCTTGGTAGGTTAGATATGGAGAGAATTAGAGAATCTAGAACTAGAGATCATCGTTTAAATGTAAAAGTGGTCCAGTTAGTCCAGGGATGTGATGAATTGTTTTTCTTCGGGTTGTAAATCTTTGAATTCTATTCCTGAAAAGTTGGTGGAAGCAAGAGCTTTTGTTTTTAAGGCAGCAATTGAGAGATTCTCACCAAGCAAGGGAGGGAGAGGTGCTGGGGGTAAGTTAGGAATGTGGATTAGAGGTTACAGTCAGTTTTGCCATGTTCTCATTGAGTAGTGGAGCAGGCTTGACAGGGGCAAACGGTCTACTCCTGTTCCATGTCTGTACGTTCATACTTTTGAGCTATTTGAAAACTTGTCCAGCAAAATTCTGCCCCTGCCCCACCAAGTCCCGTGTCATGAATAACATTTCCAGGGAATGAAGCTCCTTGCAGGGGACAGGATACACTCTGAAGAGGCACGCTAAACTGAATTGTCAGTGAACCGTTCGGACAAACATTTGTACTTAAGAAATTGAGCAACAGAATTGATTTCACATATCAGTGCATTAAAATGTGAGGATGTCTTTGTACTTGGAAACTAGAAAGAGAGTAAGAAAGCCGATGTCACAAGGAACAAGAACCTGCACTGTATTATAAATAGTGAAAACTCAATAGCTGCTTGGGAGGAAGTGACTCAGACAAACCACTCACTGATTAAACTGAGAGAGTAAAATGGAGGAAGTGCCTTTTGGTATTTCTAGAATCTTCTGACTGAGCAGACAAATGGCAGGATGTTTCCCACTTCACTATGAAAATATCGGAATGTTATGTCTGCAAATATCCAGAATTCCTATTTTCAGTTCCTGCTATCTTGCCTCCTTTTTTTTTGCAGCTTTAAGAAACTATTGGAACTGCAGGCTCCTGTAGATTATTGATGTGTTTCAATGTGGATATGTACAGGAGAGCACCCAAATAATCAAAACATTTAAAGGCAAGACAACATCCTAACTTGGAACTATATCACTGTTCCTTCACAGTCCTTGTGTCAAAATCTTGGAACTCCCTCCCTAATAGCACCATGAATGCAGCAAATACACACATGAATAACAGTGTTTTGGGAAATCATTGTACGACCATCCTGGATGGGCAGCAAATGCTGGTCTCCCCAGGAATACCCATGTCCTGTGAGAGTAATTTCTTTTACAAATCAATAAACAAATGAGGGAGAAAGAAGGATTTACTGACAAGTTCAAATGAGGTAAAATGGGGAGAGGGTTGTGTGTAATCTAAATACCACAAGAACCACTTGAGTCAAATGGCCTGATTGAACAGTGTGCTGTGATGATTGTGATATAAATACAATTCCAGAACTAAAAAATTCAGTGATGTAGAATAACATCCCAGATGGTTTATTTAAAAGTTATGGTTGTACAATTTTTAAGGTTGGAATTTCGAGTTGGGAATAGTTGGTGTATTTTCCGGCAATAATTTGCCACCCTTAAAGTCATTAAGCCGTGGTTAAATCCTCAATGCAAACAACAGATAGAACACACTCCAAGGACTATCTCAAATTGTCATGTATGTGACTAATCGTTATAATCAAATTTCACAGGTAAATGGTTGTCTTCTGGACCCTTTGCCTCCAGTAATGGCAAGAAAAGGATGTCCACCATCTCCTAGCAACATGATGGAGACGTCCATCGATGAGGGGATAGAGACTGAAGATGACTCGGAAGAGGACCCCGCCCAGGTGTACGCATCATTTCAGGCAATGCGCTGTGGCCAGAGGCGGCACACTCTGGCTGAAGTGACCAACCAGCCAATGGCAATGCCAAGCACAGGTACGAACCATTTTGTCTGGTTTTATTCCCGCATTTGCTCAAAGGATTCTTTCTGTCTGAGGTACACTTCCAAGATTGACTGATACACTCGAGTATATCATGTGTTTTATAATTGAGTTTATAGATTGAATGTTAGCTGGTAACTCGTCCTTGTGGCACAGTTGCAGCGGTGTCTACCATTTACAAGATGTGCTGCAGTGTATTGCCAAGGTTCCTTCAGCACCTCCTTCCAAACCCACAACCTCTACTGCATAGATGGATGAGAAAACTGCCACCTACAAGTTCCCCTCTAAGTCCCCCACCATCCTGACTTGGAGTTGTATCAGTATTGTTTCATTGTCACTGGTTAAAACCCAAAATTCTCCCCTCAGCAGCACTGTGTCACCCACATCCCTTGATTAAATGCATATATTGAAATAACTGTGCAGAGGCCAGTATCCCATCACCAAGTCACCCTTCGAATTCCGGGCACACAGTACACTGATTGTGACCAGCCAGCTTGGAGCCACTCCCTGAAGTGAGGCGATTCGAAATCCCCTGTTTATATCCGTCAGCTAGTGCCCCCCGATTGGCCCGGGTTAACAACCCCAACTCAAGGGTCTCGTAGTCAATAAGATCCACCTGGTTCCAATCATTACATATTTTTTAAATTCTTCCTTTGAGAGCAACAGTGCAATCTTAATCCTAATTACTTGATGTGCATCCTGGACAGGATAGTGATCAAAAATGGGAACTGTTCAATTTGATTTTGTCTGCACCCACCATAGTTCTGACTGGAGCACCCCTCCTTATTCTCACTCTTATCATAATGAGTAAAGGAACCAGAGGGTAGTGGAGGAGTCTTTCTTTAATGTAGCCAGTTGTTGCAGTCTGGAAAGCAAAGCCTGAAAATGTAGTGGGAGTAAAGTCAATAACAACATTGAAAAGAAAATTGCACGTGTACATGAAAAGAAAATATTTGCAGGGCTATGGGGTAAGAACAGAGCTATGAAAATAATTAATTGGTTATCTCATTCAAAGAGCCAGTGCAGGCTCAGTGGGCTAAATGGCCTTGATCTGTGTTGAATTTAATTCCAGATTGGCCCAACTGCTATATAAGCCCGATAGGTCTTGTATCAAGTGCAGGTATCTCCCCAGTCCATTGATCGAATAGTACGATTGATCTCCAGGATGAATGTAGTTAAATTTTTGATTTGATTTAAGCTTTATTGACTACTTCTATACTTGAGTACACCTGACAATGAGATCACAAATTTATCTTAACCCTGGTCTGCTAAGACCGGACCCTACTGCACAAGTTTCCTCTCCAGTTGCGGAGGCCTCTCTGTGAGAGATTTGAACCTTGTGTAAGCTGAGCTAACGCCTTAGTAACTACTTGTTACTTTCTGCCATTACCTTAGGCAGGACTAGAAATGTCACCACTATCTCTGTGAGAAGGGCCCAGGGTCAACAAACCCACCACAGCACTTGTCTAATCAAAGTGTAATGATTTCTATTTAACACTCAGGCTGTGTAAAATGAAGTCCATTGCACTGCTGCCTGTTGCCCTGGTAACGTTGTCCTTTTATATTATAAAGCCCTCTCTTCTGATTCCATTGCCATGGCAACCCCAGATCCAAGGAATGTGGCAGCAATTCCTCAATCCCGGCTTTGCTGAGGCATTTGTGACAGTAAATGGAGTGGGAGGACTTCATTCCATTGTTAATATATCACTAGTTCTGCCTAATGGCTGTTATCACTTATGGCAGGAAATAGTGGAAGTGACAGTGCAGGGATTTCCCACAGTTGCTCAGAACCCTTGCTGTTTAGCATAAACTGAAGAACTGTTTTACAGTTACCTTCTCTAATCACAAATTTGCATTCACTTTTGGCTGGGTCAACAGGGTTCAAAGCAACGCAGCCAACTGGATTTGATGCGTCTGCTGGCCTGTTCTGATCCTAACCTATGTATATATCTATTGCCCCAATGCAGGGAAACTGTTCACTGTAGGCAATAATCCATCCTTGGGGAGCGTCGATGCAGAATACGACATGGGATTGATGCACAGTGAGCTCAATATTCTCGAGGACACGCCATGCCCGAAAGATGTTGTACTTGTCAACCAACCAGCAGCACGAATGACTCCACCACTGATTGGCATCAGGCCAACAAACCCAGCGATGGAGGCACTGACCTCCCAGAAACGCGAGGTGCATAACCGGTCACCAGTCAGCTTCCGGGAAGGCCGAAGGGCTTCTGATACATCTTTAACACAAGGTGACTACCTACCACGCCTTTGTTACCATCTGTATGTGTGTGAGAGAGTTTTGTCGATAATATCTAGCTATGTCATGACGGTTAATCTCCACTGCACTTCCGGTATGACCTGATTGTGAAAATACTCAGGATACGTTTCTTGCAAGGCACCCAGGATCTTAGAACCGTCCGTTTCCTGTGGTGCAATATTAACCTGTTGTGCTGGACTGTTGTTCAAGGGCTGAGATCTGTCTGTTGGGAGACAGTCTGTGTCCCAATTTCACAATAGCATCAGTAGCCCAACGTGATGTTTTTAAAGGGAACTCCAGTTAAGAACCAGGGTGCAATCCAATTGGAGACCTCCCGACATTGTGAGTGGTGACCTGTTTGTAAGAAAGGGTCCCTCAAAAAGGAGGTGCCCTCTCAAGGTTTGATACATTGCTGCAAGTAAACATTGCGCACTGCTGCCGGAGTGCCATTGTGGAGGGTAGCTCAAATGGAGTGGCCAATGCCTGTAACCCTTTTGTAACTTGTGAATGCAGAGGGCATTTAAAAAGCCACGTGGAGCACAATGGTGGGAACATACCATACATTAACCCGGTTGGGATTTCGCAGACCTGCCTCTGGTCCCACCTCCTCATGCAATTGAGAATCCAGCCCTTTGAGTTCCTCCTGATTGTGTTGTGTGGAATACTTTTAAATATATCAGAATAGACATTGGAGAGTGCTGGCCATTAGACCTGTGCTGCCATAGAAACCACATCTAGCTGCCTTATGAAGATTTCAGAATTTTTTCCCTCTACTCCTCCCTGAAAGACCGTTCCAGGTTTTGGGCAGCATGTCTGAAAATGCCTGTAGTCATCGATCCTGAACCTGTGTCACACTGTCATAGAATACGTTTAACTTTGGTGTCATAGCAATGTTGATCATCACCACCATCCCATCTCATCAGTCACCCATTCCTCTTCCCATCTACTGTGTTTAACTCTTGCCACTACTTCCTTTTATCTGGTCTTAGCCTTTCCAGTTCACTTTCAAAACTGGAAAATGGTTTGAAAAGTTAAATAATGAAAAATTATTTCTAGTCAGTGAAGTTAAGAATTAATCATACCCTTCAGGAATGCAATTTGGAAACACTTATGCCCATAAAGGCTGGTAAAAGTCTGGAACTCTCCTCCTCAAATGGCAGTTGATGCTCAATGAATTGTTAACTTTGAACCTGAGATTGATAGATTTTATTTTTTGTTAAACATTGGTCTTGCGGGGAAAAATGGGCATGTGGAATTAAATTACTGGCAAGCTATCTTCTTACTGAGTAAGCTGGAAGAGCTAAATGACGTATGCTTGTCCCTATTGGGGATCGTAAACTTAGGATTGATACTAGAGCAGAAAATGGGAGACTAGTCTTATTATTTGAATGACTACTGGGATATGGCAGACATTACTACAAAGCAAGCTGGTCTGTGTATACTTGAATAAAGATATTAAATGATGTTGGATAGCACTCTGTCTCAGAGCCAACATCGTGACAGTGGCCTTAGTGATCTCCTTGTGTTGTGCCAACCTATTATCCTAGAAGAGAAAGGACAACAGGAAAAATCAACTAGAGTAGAAAATCTGGAACTGGTATTAAAACTGTCACTATTGACCTCTTCTGTCGTTAAATCTCTGATTCCTCATTCATCTTTCCTCATTGCTGACTCTAGCCACAGAAACTGTCCTCCCAGCGACAGAATTGTGTGTGATTGTACCTTTTTGACTTAGAAACAGCGATTAGTTTGTCAAGTAGCTCAGTTATTTCTTTGATTCAAATTCCATTGAGTTGACCCAGATCTTTCTGGCAACAGAAGCCTGACCTCAAAGTAGTTGCCCATTAAGTTCTAATGATCATTCTGGCATGGATTTCCCATCCCCGGTTTTAATTTCAACTGCATTAGCTCTCCCAGCGTCCAATCAACCAGATGAAGCCAGTCACACTGAAGAATTCTATCAGACAGCAAGCCAAGAATGAATAGGCAGTTTTGTCATTAACCTTTTATTAAATTTCAAGAGTGTGAAATAAAGATTGGGTATGCACGTGGGTTTAAGGCAGGAGCTGAAATGCTGTGAACAAATTTCAGAAATTAAACTATGATTATGGTTTAGTACGTGGTATCTCATTCAACAAGACTTGACTTTTTAAAATAGTTATTTATTTATTCTTTCATGGGGCATGGACCATGGACCATCACTGGCAAAGCCAGCATTTGTTTCCTATCCCTAATTGCCCTTGAAATGACAGGCTAGCTCAATTTCAGAGGGCAGTTAAGAGTCAACCATGTTGCTGAGGGCCTAGAGTCACATGTAGGCCAGACCAGATAAAGACAGCACGTTTCCTTCCCTAAAAGGCACTTAGTGAACCGGATAGTTTTATGATCACCATTACTGAGATGAGCTATCAATTCCGATTTTTGTAAGTGGAATTAAAATCCCACCAGTTGCTGTGCTGGGATTTAAATCCATATCTCCATGACATTAGCCTGGGTCTGTGGATTACTCAGTCTAGTGACATTGCCACCATCTTTCCCTCAGATTAAACTGTAGAATGTGGTGGTTCAGATCAGAAATTGATTTCGTCTGCAAGCCTGTGGAGGAGTCTGCATCCTCTGGATTTCTGTTTTATTTTCAATGCAGGGCCACTACAGGTTGCTATCAGTTTCACAAGGTGATAAAAGAGAATGCTGGCAGGTCTGCGTCATTACTGTAACAAAATGCATGCCGTTATCATCATCATCATCTGCCTGAAGCAGCTGTTTTTTTCCAATCTGCTGCCATTTTTTTGCATTCAGTACATTTCACTCTCTGATGTTCTTGTTTAAGAAGAAAGGATGTTTATGTGGACAGATCAGTAGTTCAACCAGGGAGGTTCAGTGGGACTTTGCTCCTGCATTCCCATCAGTCTGGAACAGCCCACTGGATATTTCCTCAGAGTGCAGAGGTCAGAACATTGGTCTCCTGTTGACCAAAGCTCTCTTGTGTTTGTAAGTTATAAACCACCTGTCACTCTTCATCACCCACCTCCGTCACTAGATCCTTCCATTTCTTTCTCGTTAAAGCATTTATCAAGCTTACCTTTTTAAATTCATCTGTGCTATTGAACTCAACTATTCCTTGTGAATTCCACAACATTCTACAAATAAAAGAATTTCTCCTAAATTCCTTGTTTAATTTATTAATAACTGCCTTGTTTTTACAGCCCCTACTTCAGATTTTACCCACAAGTGAAAAACATCTTCTGTTTATCCACTGTATTGTAATTGTGTGAGAAACTTTAATTTGTGGCTTGTGGTGAGTTGAAATGTCAAGCATTTCCTTCTTACTGTCCACTTTGATGCAAAGTCAGTTACAGCTCCTAAGTAACAGCAACTGTTGCCTTACTGCAGATTTAGAAAAAACCTTGTATGTAGTGAGTTACTTTGAAAATTTGATAAATGTTATGAAAGCAAAAGAAACAGTTGTTTTCACACAAGAAAACCCATATTGTTCTGGTAGTGTTGGTTGAATGAAGTTTGTTGCCAGGACATCATCAGGCCTGCTGTCGTTTGGCAACAAGGATCCTTTTACAACCGCCTAAACATTAGAACAGGCAACCACTTAATTGTCTCCAGCAATACATGTTGCAATGGAGTGTCAGTATGGCTTATGTGCTTGAGTCCTGAAGTCAGTTTCCAATCCACGGTCTTCTGTTTGTGAGCCGAGAGTGCTAACAACTGAGCTATGCTGACAGAATAACGTTTTTGGACAAACTGACGTGATTAGACCTGTTCTAAGGAATGTACGATTTGTATCGTTGGTATCTGTCCAAAACGTTGTATGTTTGGATATTGCATTGTTGTATTGCCTGTTGCCTTAGAGAGGTGAGGATTGCAAAAGTGCAGTAACATGTGTTGAAAGTAGTAAAAGTGCATCTTAATGATGCCTGTAAGATCGTGGATTGAACTGGAGCAGGGTGCTTGGAACAACAGCTGGTGGAAGGGAGTGGGGAGGATTAAGATGAAACTTGTTCTTAATCAGCGCATCATTGCTCCTCAGTGTTTGTCTCTTTAGAGAACTTGGTGTTTTCCTCTTTGTTGAAAAATGTTGGCTTATTCAGTACTCCTGTCACTTTGTCATCAGTTCCCGGGTAAAGCCTTACTGAGGGAGAAAAGTTTCTGACCTGTAGTTCCTGTTTGCACTGACAAGGAGAAGGTTCTTGAATACCCATGGGGGAAGCAAGCCTGAGTCTGAGATGAAAAATTCCTCATTAATCAGAAGAGTTAATTTACTGAATTTGAAGAGGCTATCCATTGTACTGTCTGCACCTTATTCCCCTCTCGACCAATTTTTGAAACCTGGTACACTCCTCATGGCAAGTTGATGGAGGCTGATTCCGTAAGTAATTTTAAAGAGAAGTTGGACAGGTACTATATATGCGGGTGACAAGCCTACATGATTAGAGGAATGGTGCAGAGTTGGGCAATAAACATAGCTGCTGTTTCCAAGAGGTAGTGTAAGCACAAGGGGTTGAATGGCCTCCTGTGCTGTAATTTTCCATAGTTGTGTTTCCTTGATTCAATCTGATCCAGTTGATTCCATGTTTTCAACTAGGTATTGTAGCCTTTCGCCAGCATCTTCAGAATTTGGCCAGGACCAAAGGGATCCTGGAGCTCAACAAGGTCCAGATGTTGTATGAACAGCTGGGATCAGATGAGGATCCTGATGGGTCACCAGCACCACATTTACAGAGTCTCCTCACCAGCCACCATCAGGTAAACTTTATATTAAAATCTATTCTAGTCATTCAAGACGTGAAGGAGATGTGATATTTGATACTTTTTCAATGGCTGGGCTAATCTCTTAACTCGAGCAAATACTCCTGTCATTTTTTTTTATATAACACTCAGGTGAAGATCGCAAGCAGCAACAAACCCAACTGGGCAGTAGTTTCTGTCCTATTGCTGTGGAACACACCTGCTCTCACTTGTACGTGCTTCTCCCCAAAACTGGGAAGAAACCCTTCATCAAATTGTGGAGCATTTATTGATGTGGTAACCTGCTGTGGGATTGGACAACTTGGAGAAAACAGTTCTTGAGATATAAAATCACTGCAAAATTAAGCTTAAGTCTGACGCTGAACAAGTTAATACACTATTGTATTTAATAGGTTCTATATGTATGATATTATAACTCACTGAAATATCAAAGGGGGCACAGATACCTTTGAAAATGGTTTAAAAGCCTTTGATAATTACTTCAATTTAATAGCAAATAAAATTCTTTAAAAGAGCAAGACATAACAGCAGAGTTCAGCATGCTGGGGAGTTCACAGATAATTTCATTAATCACCTCTACAGGTTAGTGGGGCCTTGGAATCAAAATTCATTACAGACAGAATTGTTGTCGGAATTACTGGTGATCATTTATCAGATTTCTTACAGTCCAAGGAAGTTTCAGCTTTTGAGAAAGTCAAATCAGGTTGGAAGCAGAAAACGCATCCACAACATAGCTCAGTTCCAGAAGCAGAAGGATACATGATCAGAGCACTAGACAAAAAAGCAAATGTTTGCTCATAAAAAGTGGTGAACACAATTGGATCATCCTCCTTAGAAAGAAACTGTCCCTCTGTCCTCGGAAGTTGAGATGGGCCCTGATCCTGGAGAGTTGGGACAGTCTCCTGGCTGTGGCAGTGGCTGGAGTATCAGCAGCGATGAGGTGGCCTTGGCAGAGGCAACATTCTGGGTCTGGTCAGCATCAGTGGGGGCAGCTTTAGCACATTTACTCCCTGATGTTGCAGCCTCTGGATACGGTTTAATGGCTGCGGAGTGTGGCAGCACCCAGTATTCACTTAGAAAATCAAGAATGGAACAGAAAATGAAATCTGTTCTTACTTTGTGTGAATTATTTCTTTTCAATCATTTATGCAATTTAAATGGCGCCAGATTATGGCGACTTATACACATTTTACTGTATTTTCATAAATAGAAGTAACAATAAATAACTACCTGGATTAGTAAAGATACCAGAGACACTCCTAGTAGAAACTGAAGATTCAAGCAATTCATGTTCAACAGCATTTGATGACGTCAATGGATATCTCATTAGAATTAAGCTTGATGCAGATGCACATGTCACTGTCCTGTCAAACTAAGAAGAAACAAAAGGTAAAGCGAATATAAGTGAGTCTACTTGGCACAGGAGGGACAACTGTCGAGAGCGTGACCAGGCTGAAGTCCCCCAAGGAGCATGAGACAGTTTGGATGTTTACACAATTCACAATCAGCCATTCTCCCATTTGAGACTGCATCCATGTCCTGGCCTCAGCGTCCTTAGAGACCAACACCCTCACCTAATCTTAAGAACAACTGGTCAAGAAAAAAATACGTTGTGGTTTCAATGGCCTTCCCAGAGTCATGGAGATGTGAGAGTCCGTCAATGAGGAGGGTTGTGGAGACTCGGTGTGGGGGCTAGTGTCAATGTGAGGGGGGAGAGTTAGAGTATGAGGGAGGTGTGTGGGGTGTGTGGTGAGTAACAGTGTGGGGGCTGGCGTTGGGGGGGGGGGGATAGTGTGGGGGGTGTGTCAGAGTGATGGGAGTGTCAGTGTGAGGGAGGAGTATGGGGTGGAGTGTTAGTGAGTGGAGGGGGTTGGAGTGTGGGTGGAAATGACACTGAGAGCGTAGTTAAAGGGTGGAGTGTCAGTGTGGAGGTGGAGTGTGGGGGGGTGAGGTAGTGTTGGGGGGATATGTAGTGGAGAAGTGTTGGGGGGGTAGTGTCAGTGTAGAAGGGAATGTGGGGAGAGAGTGTCAGTCTGGAGGTGTGTGTCAGTGTAGGGGGTGTGTGTCAGAGTATGTAGGGAGTGTCAGTGCAGTTTGGTGGGTGGGAAAGAGTGTCAGTCTCTCTAATCTCAGTCTGTAATCTTCCTCCCTGTCATTGTAAACCTCCTCTGCTCCTTCTCATATTGTTGCATCCAGATTTTAACACAATCATCCAACAGAGGCAGTGTTTATAATGGCCTATATACTCTCCAACTTGGAGACTCTCTGCTCCTATTCCTAAAGCCCTGGGTGCCTGTTTAATTCTTTTTCATAACCATCAGTATTATCACGCACACATACTTGTCCATCCCACCACCCCCACACTATCCCTTCATGACACATTCCCACTGGTGGGACATCTTTCTGCTGATTCTTCTTATTTTTTCTGTGACGGCTCCATCTCGTTCTTGGCTGTAAGTCAGCTTTGAACTTGCATCTCACTCCCAGCCTTAAAGTGCCTTCCATGTGCTCATGTATTCCAAATATACTTCTGATCTCCTCCTCTCTCAAACCTTCCACATTCACCTCCACAGAGTGGACTGAAATGTCTTTGCCTGTGTTGTATGGCACAACGCCAGTACTTTCTGCTGCAACTCGAAATGCCACACCTCAATTAAACCTTAGTTTTGGTTGAACCTGCCTCATCCGTGTATTGCTGTAACTGCAAATTGAAAGACAATCATTAAGCAGACTGTGTAAAACAGAACAAAAAATCTCACTGTCATGTCTTTTGTTATAGGATGAAGCATCTCATCAGCAAGAAAATGTAGCATTATTCCCGAATGGAGTTCATCCACACGTTTTGTCGCGGCGCCAGAGCCTGGAAACACACTATTTGCAACACCGATTGCCGGTATGGTATTTTATTTATAAAATTTAAGTTGTAGAGTCATTGAGGCCTACAGCATGGAAATAGACCTTTGGCCCAACTTGCCCATGCAAGTTTTACAATTAACATAGTCTTATTTGCCTGCATTTGGTCCATAAGCCTCCATACCTGTACTATCCATGTATCTGTCTAAATGTTTCTCAAATGTCAAAATTGTACTCGCTTCCGTTCCAGACACTCATCACCCGCGGTATTTTTTTTTTTAAAAAATGCCCCTCTTGATCCTTTTGTATCTCTCCCTTCTCACCTTAAACCTATGCCATCTAGTTTTAGACTCCCCGACCCTGGGGAAAAGCTGTTGGCTATCTGTCCTAACTATTCCTCTCATGATCTTATAGATCTCCGTAAGGTCACCCCTCAGGTTCCTACATTTCAGCTGAGGATTTCTCTACCCTAAGGCAGTGCATTTTGTTAGGAATAAACAAAACCTGGTTACAGATGCATTTGTCCAAAAACACACAATAGCCAGCAGTCAGTCTGTGGCCAGGGAGCCACACCCCCTTGGTGCTGCACTCCATAAAGTATTAGTAGGAACTATGTCAAAAGCCAATTCACTCGTGGACGTATTGGAACTTGGTGGAGCAATGAGTTTTTGTCCCAATATCTTTCTCCCCACAAACAGAAAGTTCATTGATCACCCCAGCACTTTCTGACCTTCATTGGCTCCCAGTCTGGTGGTGGTGAGATTTATAAATCTTTTGTCCTTTTTAACTTTGTCCCCAGTTAGGGCCAACCATCTGGAGTTGGGTGTAGCTGTTTAATATTGAGAAAATGGGAAGTTAAATACTTCGAGGATGCAGAGGCCAGTATAATATGATTCGTATACAAAATTCAAAAGAAGAGATTGAAGTTTTCTAAATCACTTAGCAGCATCGAGATGCCTTACATTTGGGTTTTTGTGTTTCTGGTATCCACTCAGAATGTTGCAGGGGCTGAGGGCAACAGCTATTTGTCAGCCTTTGGGCAACACTAACCTTGTTAAGTTTTCAAGCCTCTTTCATTCATAGAATCATAGAACCCCTACAGTGCAGAAAGAGACCATTTGGTCCATCGGGTCCGTACCGGCCTTACCATACAGCCCGTGTTTACCATGGCTAACACACCTAGCCTACACATCCCTGACCACTACGGACAATTTCAGAATGGCCAATCCACCCAACCTGCACATCTTTTGGACTGTGGGAGGAAACCAGAGTGCCCGGAGGAAACCCACGCAGACACGGGGAGAATGTGTAAACTCCACACGGACAGTTTCCCAAAACTGGAACTGAACCCGGCCTCTGGTGCTGTGAGGCAGCAGCGCTAACCACTGAGCCACCAAGCTGCCGTGGAGTGTTAATGAAGCTTTATTCCGTTATCACTTCAATAAGGCACTCAGCTCCCTTGTGGTTATGTCCTTTTGATTCAAATCTGGGTGTTGGGCAAGAAACCCGAGTCTCGGCCCTGAACAGCTGTGTTTTGGAAGAATTCAGATGTTAGCTCCTGATAACATCAGCATGAGGGATCCCTGTATATTGAAGATTAAACAGCAAACCACAATCAGAAGCTCACTGTCCAACTGGGAATACACTATTCCGTACGCCGTACATCCACCTGCACAATCTCTTCTTTCCTTCCAAACTGCCAACTGAATCCCTCTACCGAGAGCAACAAAACATATTAACTGAGAACCCATGAGAGGAACACTTACTGACTGTTTCTCTGAATTAGCTGTGAGAACACAGCAGTGTGGGATTACAGTCTACTGTGCATGCTGCCAAAACATGGGAATTATTCTGTTTGAGGTATTGCCAGACCCATGTTGAGCATGACTCAGAATATTATAGTGTCATTTGGGCTGTTAACGTGAAAGGAAAATCTGTAAGCTTTATAATGAGTGTAAGGATGAGAGGGAAAATTAGTTTTTGAAACAATGCAGAAGGAAAATGATGCTGCCAGACCGGCTGAGTATTTCCAGTATTTTCTTCCTGTTCACAAAGTTGTCACTACAGCAGCAGTTTTTAATCCTGACTTCCCCACAGCTGAGAAAATCCCAGAACAATGACAGGAGCCCTGTGCTCCACATGGGCCTGGCCTGTGCTCTGTGCGTGTTGTGTGGGCGATGGAGACTGACAGAGGCAGAATATGTGGCTCAGGAGGCAACAGGAATTGAAGCTGTGGCTGGAAATCTTCATGATAAACCTGGGGTGGGCTGAAGTGCCTGAATAAATGCCCACAAGCCTCTTGTTTAACCTGCAGTTAACTTTCATTCAACATTGAGAGGAGTGAAACTGTTCACTGGGGCGAAAGGACTGAGAGCCGAGGGTTTAGATTTATTTTCTTCATTAATTTCTTCACTTTTATTTTAAATTTACTCATGGGATGTGGGCACCTCTGGCTAGGCCAGCATTTATTACCCATCCCTAATCGCCCAGAGTCAACCACATTGCCGTGGGTCTGGAGTCACATGGAGGCCAGACCAAGTAAGGATGGCAGTTTCCTTCCCTAAAGGACACTAGTGAACCAGATGGATTTTTAATCATCATTAGATTCTTAATTCCATATTTTTATTGAATCCAAATTCCACCATCTGCCATGGTGGGGTTCGAACCCACGTCCCCAGAACATCAGCCAAGTTTCTGAATTAATAGTTTAGTGATAATACCAATAGGCCATTGCCTCCCCTATGAGCTAGCCTAAGCTCAAGGGAAATAATGTGCAGGAATACAGGGAAAGGCAGGGGAGTAACACTAAGTAGATTGTCATGCAGAGAACAAGCACAGGAATAATGGGCCAAATGGCCTACATGTGTTGTAACAATTCTGAGTGAAACACATTTTGGCACAGATGGAAACAATGTGTGTTTTTGTATTTACTGTTCACTCAATGAAAATGTTAAGATTATTCTAGGAATAAAGAGTACGTTGCTTGTAAACTAGAGTATTTTAAAATTAGATCTGCAGTTTTTTAAAAAATGATTAATTCATCATAATTGAGTCTTCCGTGCTCACTGGTGCCATTGTCATCAGTGATTCTGAAGCAGGGATGTGGAAATGAGTATCTCTTCCTCAATTGCTGTGAGGTGGATATTTTCAAAAAAAAGAAAAATGCAAAAATCAGGTCTATAAGGTTTCTTACCATTATATTCTTTCAATGAATGATGATTTCCTTGTAGATATCTACAGAGGTAACTTAAAACTTCACATTCTTTTGTCGAAATTCTTTCATGGCTTCATCCCTCCGTCCCCACAACCCTATCTTGCCTTGCTTCAATTCTGGCTGACTGTGCAAGTTTCCTTCTCCAACCAGCACCCCTCTCTTTCCATTGGAAACCATCTCTTTACTTACTGAAGCTCACATCTACCACACTTTTCTGTCCATAGACCTCTGGTAAAGTACCTCCGTGATGGAGGGGTGGTGCGATCTTGCTATATTGAAGGTGCTGTGTGAATGTAAGTTGTTGTTGTTGTTGTTGTTGTAATTAAAATTCTGTGCTATCACTTTTTTTTGAAACAGAACCCAAGCTTATTGAACAAAGCACAAAACAGCTGCCCACTGTATTGCAAGGAAACCCCCAGGAGTCTGGAGCAGCAACTCCAAGAACACAGGTGAGACCTGCCAACCTTGCTGTTCAAAGAAGCATCCCATGTCAAAAGTTTGTATCCCTGACCCCAAACGGCAAGTAACTAGCTCCAGCCCTTGTATTTGGAAAGTTGTGAGAGTCTCCAAATCAGCACGGAGTAAATCCAAGGCTTTCCCCTCAGGTGCTGATCTGTGGTATTATTAGCTTGTCTCGATCACCTTGTGTATCTTCACTCTAAATCTTTAATCTCCCGTTTCAGGTTACAGCAGAAACGGCTGATTCTCCACAAACAGTCGCAGCTCCAGGCTTACTTTAACCAGATGCACATTGCAGAGGGTTCGTACCCACAGCGAGCCCAGCAGATGCCCTTACCTCATCCTGAAGCCCAGCAGCAGCAGCAGTTCAGCATGGCCCAACCTCTGAGCCCAGTGCCGGAGCCCTCCGAACAGATGCAGTGCGAACCCTTCCTCAGCCAGCACTACAAGCTTCAACTCTCACTGCAACAAACGGCATCAGGCCAGCAGCCCACCCCGCCTCCACTTCAGTCCCAAGCTCGCCTTGAGCCACCGCAGCAACAAATCCTTCAGTACCCCTACCAGGCCTGTGAGATTGTGGGAGCCAACCCTCCAGAACCCAGCTACCCCGAACACTGTCCATACACTCTGGGCCAAACCCCGCAGGCTGCCTTGACCTTGTCTGAAAGCCAGGCATGCGGTGCTACTTCTGATTCACCAACCACCTACAAGAACATCACCATCCCTGAGCTACCAGGGCTTTTTGACTGTGAGATGATGGAGACGGTTGATACCCAACACGGAGGTTATGTCCTCGTGAACTGACTTCAGTCTTTTTAGTTTTCTTTTCAGTGTTATTTCACCGAGAAAGAAGGGATGAAGAGAACAGGGGTAATAAAGAGGAAGTCAGTTTAGTTTGTATATTCAAGAAAACACTAAAGTTGATGATCTTTCCTCCTTAAAGCATTAAGCGGAGAGAATAAAAATCAACAGTGTAGAATTGGCTTGGGCCGGTTCTCAATTGTTGATGTAGCTGTGCTGTGGTCCTGTTGGCCCTCATGTATGGGTGCTGAGAAGAATGAAAGAGGCAGGAGAGGCGACTCTTAAAGGAGCAAACGCACTTTCCCAAGGATGGTACCAACTAACCAGACCAGACAATAAGCACATAACACTAAATAGGAAGGAGACAGAAGCAGAATAAAGTGTAATGTTTCTGACAACACAGCAATATGTCAACAGAGGGGGAGAAAAAAAATACTGGAGTTGTTGAAGAGCTTTGAAATTCCTGAGAATGGTATTACCATCCAAGTTAAAGATCCTCATTAATTTACTGAACATCCACTCACCTCCCACAAATCCTGGCCATTGCCATCAGCTTGAACTGCCTGGGGAATGTAACGCTTTCAAGTGGAGGCAGTCCCCTCAAAGGGAGAAAAGCTCATCTCCCTCTGAAGTCTGGCCATTGTTTTCACTAAGTTGGATGTTCACAATGCCTGACACTTACATTTCACACCAGAGGATGATCCTGGGTTGCATTTAGCACTAGGAAGGACGTAATGTGGAAATATAGAAGAAAATTTTTAAAAAGTGCCTCCTACGGGGGCATTTTAGCTGTGCACACCTCTGGGCTCTGGAGGTGGTGATTAATGTGTTAGTAGTTGTTTCAGTGTTTGCTTTTCAAGGAATAACTCATTGTAACTTTGAATTTCAGATATGAGTTGCTGGTTGTTTATTAAAAGCTTTGTACACTTTACCTAGGGTTTTAGAAGTTATACAAGAAATAAGCTTTTGAAACAAAAACCGTTGTGTGAAGTGTGATAGTGCTGTGCCTTTTTGCTTCTTCTTAATTTAAGAAAAACAAACACATTTCTGGAAAACAATTTGGAAAAAACAATGCCCCATTTATACTCACAAGTTAACCAAAGTCACTTCATAGTAAGTACTTCTGGTTCCACTATGTGGAACCCAGGCCAATGTTTTACTCTGTGTTCCTTTTTAAGTCAATCTATATGTAAAGAGTAAAAAGCAATATTTATTAAATATTTTCAAATGACATTTGTACCATACATGTACCATGATTGATGTTTTGCGCACTGTCAGAATAATTTGACCTTCTCTTTTCCTTGTTGAAATATGATATTGTCAGGGATTGATGGTGAAGTGCTGATTTGACTAGATTGGATGGCTAGCCCAGGCAGCCCTATGATTACGCTTGTGGAAAGGAAATTCTGGATTCTACAGCCCCTCAAGGCTGCCAGTCCATGGTGTTGGATCAGTACTTCACCACGAAGATTTAGCAATGTTGAAATTACCATGTAGAAGATTGTACCTCAGCATTTACCCCGACACCCATTGTTAAATGGCTCAGCAAGCAGAAGGTTTGGCAAGCACACAAGGAGTTGTGCCTCCAATACAAATCACGCGGCATACGCTGTGTTTGTGTTTTGTTTGTGATGCTGTAGTGAGTCAGGTGGTCAAGAGCCACAACAACAATGCCAACTTTGCCAAGTTGCAGCTTCACCACAAAGCAGGAACATTGCCAGGATTCAGATTAGTTGCTCTTTTTTTTAAAAAAAGTGTTGGAACACACCCAAAGGCATCGTCCCACTTTTGCTGCCTTTCTCTTTGCTGTTGCTGTGTTTCTCTTGTTCCATTTTCATTTCTGTTTGCATCTCTATGTAGGATGGCAGGTCAACGACACACAGTCTGTCTCATCCACGATGCCCAACACTAATGTGTTTCCATTGGCAATGATCACCCAAAAGGTGAATTGTGCAAAATTTTGGTCTTCCATCTCTCAGTTATCCCACTACTCCCCCATTCCCACATGGTCATATTTCATATGCTTTGAAAACCCTGCAGGCCAAAGTTTCCTTTGTGGTGGGGGAGAATGTATCTTTCTGACCTCCTTTTAGAATGCTCCCTGCCCTTTCTCAACTAGACATCAGGTACACCGACTCTTCCATGGCTTATACCAATTTATGCCGAATAGAGTGTGCAAGTCATGTTGACCGATGACATTCTCCCTCTTTAAACAAGGACTTCTCCTCAGTGTTCAACCTCAGGATGGACCTGCTGAGACCAATGAAACAGCCAGCCTCCATTTCCCCAACCACACAGCACTGGCAGTTACAAGTGTTCAAATCCTACCTATGTATTCAAGAAAATTACAGTTCATTGAATTTAAGCACTGTTCTTCACATTAGTTTTGATTTTCATGTGTTTTTTTGTTTGCAAAGAAAATTTGAATCTTGAAATTCTGCTAAGCAATACTAGCACCTGAACCCCTAATATGTTTGAATGTCTCTGTTTAAAGCAGAGACAACACATTAAAACAATGGATGGAGGAAACGCATTTGATATGAATATGTCAGTTTCTAGGCCTTAACAAAGCATTCCCTTCCCTGGCTACTATCCAGCCAATACTTTGAGATCAGGAAACTCCACTGGTGCAACAAGAATTATTCCACAATGCCTTTAATAGTATCGTTTTCTTCCCCTGAAATATGATTACTTTCCTGCGGTCGGTCGCGGACCTTTGATCGAGCAGTTAGAAGCAGGATTTTAGCCCCTGCTGTCACTGCTTGGAGGCTGGCTTTCAGTTCATCAGGATCCACTCTGAGACAACCTCTAAGAATGAGAGCCTCTGAGTTCTCTCTACCTCGGTGTAAATCCATAGGCTGTCCCCTATTACACTTTAGCACTGTTTCATCGGTGTATACAAGAAAGGCTCTCATGTTCAAAATTCAAAACTGACGTGAAGGTACACATGTAGTCTCTACATGTGTAATCTCATGTTGCAATTTCTTTTGGTGAATGTGGGAAGGTCACCAAATCTCACATTGACAGGTTAATCCCTGAGCAAGTCTCACTCAATACCAGTGTAATGGGTAGCAGCTAGCCTGAAATCCTGGATTGGAAGGGTCCAGCTACTGCTCAGGCTAATGAAAGTGGAGATCGAGGCTTTGATCATTGGGTCCTGTATGGTTTAATGCTGTAATGCCTTTGCCCACTAGGTTAACGCAGAAGTTTGTCTATGGTCTTTCTGTTTCTCATTTAAGGAACTGAAATAAAAGTAACTATACTCCAGTGTGTGTGGGCTGGCTTTGGCTATCAGACTCTGCTCTTTTTCAGAATGATAAAACAGTAATGGAGGTGAAGAGCAAGGGATTTCAGTACAAGAGAAAATGAGGCAGGTCAATTAATTGTTAGCAATGCAATTCTAAACAAAAAGGAAATTGAAAGGCGTTCTGAAGAAGGGTCACTGGACACTGAAACATTAACTCTGCTTTTTCTCCACAGATGCTGCCAGGCTTGCTGGGTTTTCCCAGCAATTTCTGTTTTTGTGGCAATGCAATTCTGTCTTTATCTGTACCCAAGATATTTAGTTTTCCCACTCCTCTGCTTGTGTCTGCCAAATAACCAAAGGGATGTTGGTACATCAGGAAGGTGCATTTCAAGACCAGAATGAACCTATCCATAAACTCATCCACAATCCAATGTCTTTTACTTTCTCACCTATTAACAGCAGTGAGATGACACAAGCTCAGTGTAATAATCTTGTAGTGACTTTGATTTCACTTCCATTCTCCATTTTGTAAAAACGCAAAGAAGTCTTCTGTCCAGTTTCTGAATTTGATGTATAAAAATGTGTATTTTTACCTTTATAATCTTTTAATACAATTATGTACTTTGAAGAGACTTTGGTGCAACGTATAAGGGGTAAATGTATACACAAAGATAAGTGCAATACGTGTGGTACATAGGATGCATTCTGTTAAATAGTTGATGCTTCAGAAATGCACTAGTTCTATATGCTCTTGATGTATGTAAAAGCTGCTTTTTTTTACAATTTGGTAATTAAACAATAGTGTTTTGTTTCTACAACAAAGAAATGTAATACACATTACGGACCTTGTGAAGAAAATTGCGCGCTATGGTTACAGAACTGTGTATTATAATTGTGTGATGCTGCCTTTTTTTGTCAATGTTACTCGAAAGGAGAGAATCGGCAGTCTTCAGTACCTCAAGAGCAAGTTTTCGTACGATGTTGAAATAATGAGAATGACATTTTTTTTGAATTACTCAGCAGACCTCTGTCCCAGACCGCTGGAGAAGTTGCTGCTGAGATTGTGGCAGTTTGATAAGCAATCTTTGTACTGTTAACCAAAGGATAATTTAAATAGGTAATTTACTTCAAGGATCTAACTGAATACAGTTCATGTACTGGTCCAAACCCCAGTTTGATTGAATCAAGAATAAAGGCTGTAGTGTTTTGAGCAATAACACTGAGTAATTGTCTTGTGTAACAACAAGATGGAGTGACTGCTCATATTTCTTGCCCTACTTTGAACTTTGTTAGGTATTTCAGCAACTCTCCTCAAAGTGCTGATGCGTACTAGTGCAGGGTTCCTCAATTGCTGGCAAGCATCACCACAAGGGGCCACTCTTCATATTTGAGTGGAGAAAGTGTAAGCCATTTATCTCAAAGGAAAGCTCAACCGAGCTCAGCGCTAGCCTCACATATAGGCTGTCCTGGGGAAGGGTCGTTTGAGTTTGTCCCATGCATCCACTAATAGTAGCTTGGGTCAGTGGGGCTGCATATCTTCCCCCAAGGAAACATAAGCTTTTGCCAACCGTGTAGGGTTAGCTCGGAGCTATGAATTGGGGATGGTAGAAGCTGTGATTTTCTTTCCATCGCCTGAATGACCAGGAATCTTTCCCTCTCCTACTGCCTGCTTTTGGCATGTGGCGGAAGAATCAAGTTTGAAGCTCAACCACCTTGGCTGAATAATGTGTGCCTTCCTTGGCCAGTGTGTCCTGCAGTGGACTTGAATCCCAGAGCTTCTGTGCCATTTAGCTTCCCAGTCAAAATGTAATTGGAATAGTAGTCACAAGACCCAGGCTAATGCCTGAGAAATGAGAGTTCAAACCCCACCATGGCAGCTGGGATAGTTTAAGCTTCATTAACCAGTAAAGTTGAACCACTTCAGGTTCATTAATGCCCTTCAAGGGGAGGAAGACTGTATCCTTACCCAAAATCACCTACAGGCTTGTCTCCTGACCCACAGCAATGTGGTTGACTGACTTAACTTCTCAGTTGTATCAAACACAGAAAAAGCAACAGTGACAAGTGGCTTATCACTCCCTTCTCAAGGCCTGTCAGGGGTTTACCTAGACATCCCTAGAATTAATTTTCACAACGTGGCACAGTGCATACCTCAACAGAATGTCCTTTTTTTCACTACCAGTTCCAGACAATCTGCTGCTTTAGGATCTCTGTCCTGACTTCACAGACCTGCACAGAAATTCTGTACTCAAACAGCCCAAACAGAACAAAAGTCAGCATTGTTATTAGACATGGAAGGCTTTTAATACATGGTGTGCTGTCATGTACTTTAATTTCCATTTGCATGCCTGTATGTCCATTGGAGAATTTTTTATAGATGGGAATGTCACCATGTTGAATAAAGATTTTCCCGTATTTAATATCTCAAACAAACCAGAAAAATAAACCTTAAATATTATGGAACATACCCAATCATTTTCCATACAACTCAGCAAATATTCTCCCAGTTGAATGACAGGTGCACTGATAGTTCATAAATGATCAGACAAGTAATGTTATTAATAGTGTTTCTTTTTTAAAAGAAGCAAATGTATCTGCCACTCTCCTGGCAGGCCAGTTGAAATCTTGTGGAGGTGTTCATTTCTGTGTCACCATTTAAGTCCACTTGGCAGGAATGGACAGCAATGTTTCACTTGCCAAACAGGTTAGCGATTGTGTTTCCCACTAATAATGATGACACATGGCAAATGCTACTTCATTGTCCTACTGCATGATATTACCAGAAAATTGAGCTGTTTGTTCTTTTGCTGTGAGTAAATAGGCTGCTGTGCTTTTCTGTGTATCAGTGAAGCATTTTGAGACATCAGGAAGTATTGCAAGGTGCTATATAAATAGTATCATCAAATAATTATAATTACTGCGTAACGGGAGTCCATTTGGCCATAGCCCAAATACTAGCTCACTGCAAGAAGAATTAAACAAGTCCTATTGCCCTGCTCTTTCTCTGTGGTCTTACAATTATTCTTTTCCCCTTTCATGTATCCATCTTCCTTTCAGAAAGCAGTAAATGAATTTACCTCCACCATCTTCCAGGTCTTAAAGTTTTCTTTATGCAGTGAATGGGTTTTCTTATGTCACCTTTAGGGGTTTTTTTTGCCAATCACTCTAAATCTATATCCTCTCATTCTTGACCCTTCTGCCAATGGGACCAGGTTCACTCCAGCTGCTCTGCGTTGACCTCTCATGATAACACCTATCAAGTATCTTCTCTGTCCTCTCTTTACCAATCTGTCTGCATAACAAATGAAGTCATTATCCCAGTAACCATCCTTCAGAATCTTTTCTGCACCTTGCTCTTTCTGAAAGTATAGTGTCCAGAATTGGAGACAGTACTCATGTGTACACAACAAACCAAAATATTCAAGTTTATTCTTTTCAAATGTCTCTATCATTGCCCTGGAAGCAGCAGACGTAGACTGTCAGATCTGTATAGACTGTAATCACTAGGTTTAAGATGAAACTAACACTGAGGAGAGGGATAGTAGGAACTGCAGATGCTGGAGAATCTGAGACAACAAGGTGCAGGCCTGGATGAACACAGCAGGCCAAGCAGCATCATAGGAGCAGAGAGGGAAATGCTTCTGCTTTCATGGGTGTTTAGGTAATTTGGTCTGGTCACGATTGTAATAAAAACTAAAAAGAACTGTGGGTGCAGTAAATCAGAAATAAAAACCGAAGTAGCTGGAAAAGCTCAGGATCTGCGAAGAGAAATGAGAGTTAATGTTTCGGGTCTGATGACCCTTTCTCAGTATGTCATGCACAAAATTCGTTAACGTGGGGACGCAGAGAGATAAAGCTGAGACTTTTGCAACGCACTGGCTCAGGGCTGCACCACGCCGCAGTTCCACTTCATCCTCTAGCTCATTGGCTGTGCTAACAAGAAACTTTTTCCTTTGAGACATCAAGGCCCACAAGATGAGATACCCATGGCCCTCTGGAACCTTCCTCCCCTTCCATTCCCTCTGACTCCATCCCATCCCCCAATCCCCCCTCCTTTTGGGTATTCACCATCCCTCCTAACCTTCCGCTGTCTGATGCTAAACATTCTGTACTCAGCAAAGGTCTCAGCTTTATCCCTCTGCGTCCCCACCTTGATCAATTTCATGCACGATATGCTGAGGAAGGGCCACCAGACCCAAAATGTCAGCTCTCTGATTTCTCTTCACAGATGCTGCCAAACCTGCTGAGCTTTTCCAACCACTTCTGTTTTTGTTTCCATTAACGATTGCAACTGACTGCAGAGCTCAAATAATCTTTGAAAAGAGAATTCTCAGCCATCTTCACAATCGGTTCAATTAGAAGTGATTCTGCTCAAGTTTTTTTTAAAATTCATTTGTGGGATGGGGACATTGCTGGCTGGGCCAGTATTTATTGCCTGACCCTAGTTGCCCTTGAGAAAGTGGTGGTGAGCTGCCTTCTTGAACAGCTGCAATCATTGTGCTGTAGGTGGACCCACAATCAGTGCATTGAGTATAGGAGTTGGGATGTTATGTTGCGGTTGTACAGAGCATTGATTAGGCCGCTTTTGGAATACTGTGTTCAGTTCTGGTCTCCCTGATATAGGAAATATGTTAAATTTGAAAGGGTGCAGAAAAGATTTGCAAGGATGGGCCAAATGCTGGTAAATGGGACTAGATTAATTTAGGATATTTGATTGGCACGGACAAGTGGACCAAAGGGTCTGTTACCGTGCTGTACAACTCAGTGACAATGCCCTTAGGGAGGGAATTCCAGAATTCTGACCCATTGACAGTGAAGGAGCAGGAATATATTTCCAATGAGGATGGTAAGTGGCTTGGAGTGGTGGTCACACGTATCTGCTGCCCTTTTCCTTCTGGATGAAAATGATTGTGGGTTTGGAAGGTGCTGCCTGAGGATCTTTGTTGAATTTCTGCAGTGCAGCTTGTAGATGGTACACACTGCTGCTACTGAGTGTCTGGCTAGTGTGTCTCCACTGTGTTGTTGTTGGGAATGCTGATGTCAGTGTTAGTAGTCAAGAGGAACTATACCTCAATCAATAATGCCAAGGTTTGCACCACAGAACCAACAAGGTAATGCCTATTTGATGGGTAGCAATGTAGATTGGCACAGTGAACAATAAGACCATTATGGGTGCAGGTACATAGTTTCTTGAAAGTGATGTCACAGTTTGACAGAATGGACAAGAAGGCTTTTGGCATGCTTGCCTCCCTTGGTCAGAGCACTGAGTACAGGAATTGGGATGTCATGTTACAGCCTTACAAGACACTGGTAAGGCCACATTTGGAGTGCTGCATACAATTCTGGTCACCCAGCTATAGGATGGATGTGATTAAACTGGATAGGGTGCAATAAAAGATATACAAGGATGTTACTGAGACTGGAGAGTTTGAGTTATAAGAAGAGGGTGATTAGGCTGGGACTTTTTTCTGTGGAATGTACGTGGCTGAGGGGTGACCTTACAGAGTGTAATAAAATCAGGAGGGGCATAGATAGGGTGAATAGCCAAGGTCTTTTCTCCAAGGTAGGGGAGTCCAAAACTCGAGGGGACAGGTTTAAGGTGATAGAGGAAAGATTTGAAAGGGACCTGCGGGGCAACTTTTTCACACACAACGTGGTGCATATGTGGAACAAGCTGCCAAAGGAAGTGATAGAGGTGAGTCTAATACAACATTTGGACAGGGACATGGATAGGAAAGCTTTGGAAGGATATGGGCCAAATGCAGGCAAATGAAACCAGTTCAGTTTAGGAAACCTGGTCAGCATGGAAGAGTTGGGCTGAAGGGTCTGTTTCCATGCTGTGTGGCCCTAAGTTACAGGAGCAGAATTATGCCATTCGGCCCGTTGAGTTTTCTCTGTAATTCGATCATGGCTGATATGTTTCTCAACCCTAGTCTCCTGCCATCTCCCAGTAATCGTTGATCCCCTTACTAATCAAGAACCTATCTACCTCTGTCTTAAATTCACTCAATGACTTGGTCTCCACAGCCCATTGTGGCAATGAGTTCCACAGATTAAAAATCCTTTGGCTGAAGAAATTCCTTCTCATCTCACTCTAAAGGGCCGACACTTCACTCTGAGGCTATGCCCTTGGGTCGTAGTCTCTCCTACAGGAGACATCTTTCTTCTCCATACCTGCTCTATCCAAGCTTCTCAGTATCCTGTAAGATCCAATCAG